CGGCATTTCTTCTGTCTGGTACAATGGCAATCCCTGCAACATGCATCTGCTCGATCTTAACAACCGTGTCCGCGAGGGTGTCCAGAAGGCCGGTTTGGTCGGTTTCCAGTTCAACACCGTCGGTGTTAGCGATGCTATCAGTATGGGTACCAAGGGAATGCGATTCTCTCTCCAGAGTCGTGATCTGATCGCCGACTCTATCGAGACCGTTATGGGTGGTCAATGGTATGACGCTAACATCAGCATTCCCGGCTGTGACAAGAACATGCCTGGTGTGTTGATGGCAATGGGACGAGTGAACCGCCCCAGTTTGATGGTCTACGGTGGAACCATCAAGCCTGGTTGCGCCTCCATGCAGGGCAACGCCGACATTGATATCGTCTCCGCCTTCCAGGCCTATGGTCAGTTCATCAGTAAGGAAATCACCGAGCCCCAGAGATTCGACATTATCCGCAACGCCTGCCCTGGAGGTGGTGCTTGCGGTGGTATGTACACTGCCAATACCATGGCCACTGCTATCGAAGTCATGGGCATGACCCTTCCTGGATCCTCTTCCAACCCCGCCGAGTCTGACGCTAAGTACCTTGAATGTCTTGCGGCTGGTGAGGCCATCAAGACCCTGCTCAAGGAGGACATTCGTCCTTCGGACATCCTGACTCGCCAGGCTTTCGAGAACGCCATGGTCTTGGTCAACATCACTGGTGGCTCCACCAACGCCGTTCTTCACTTGATTGCCATTGCGGACTCTGTTGGTATCAAGCTCGACATTGAAGACTTCCAGTCCGTCTCGGATCGCATTCCTTTCCTGGCGGACCTTAAGCCTTCCGGCAAGTACGTCATGGCTGACCTTCACAAGATCGGTGGTACCCCCTCCCTGCTCAAGTTCTTGCTGAAGGAAGGTCTCATCGATGGCTCTGGCATGACTGTCACTGGTCAGACCCTGGCCAAGAACTTGGAGAATGTGCCGGACTTCCCTGAGGATCAGAAGATCATCCGTCCCCTGTCCAACCCCATCAAGGAGACTGGCCACATCCAGATCTTGAGGGGTTCTCTGGCCCCGGGTGGCAGTGTCGGCAAGATCACTGGTAAGGAAGGAACCGTCTTCACTGGAAAGGCTCGCGTCTTTGACGACGAGGATGATTTCATTGCTGCTCTCGAGCGCAACGAGATCAAGAAGGAGGAGAAGACTGTCGTTGTCATCCGCTACACTGGTCCTAAGGGAGGACCTGGCATGCCCGGTAAGTCGCTACAGCAAAACTTTCCCCTATCACTGCGCACGTGTGTCGGTAAAGCTAATTAAAGTGTGACGAGTAGAAATGCTGAAGCCCTCTTCCGCCCTGATGGGTGCCGGTCTCGGACAGTCCTGCGCTTTGATCACCGATGGCCGTTTCTCTGGTGGTTCTCACGGTTTCTTGATCGGACACATTGTTCCCGAAGCCGCCGTCGGTGGCCCCATTGGCTTGGTTAAGGATGGTGATGTCATCACCATTGACGCCGAGAAGCGTGTTCTGGACCTTGATGTTGAGGAGACCGAGCTCGCGCAAAGAAGAAAGCAGTGGGAAGCCGACAGGGCTGCTGGCAAGCTCCCTCCCACCGGCCTGACCCTGAGAGGTACTCTCGGCAAGTACGCTAGGTACGTAATACTCTTTTAATTGGCATAGCATCTGTTTATAAGATGCATATCCGTGACTCATATCTGAACACGATGCTAACATCACTCTATAGAACCGTCAAGGATGCAAGCCACGGCTGTATCACCGACTCTCTCGAATAAACGGAATGGCATATGTGATTATATGTCCTTCTTTGCGTTTATATATCTCTTCGAAAGTAACATGTGTCTTATATCAATTTCTTTTTCCTTTTCAGCTACTCTATCTGGGATGATTTTGGGTCGTTTTGAGTCTGGGACCGCACGTGGCTACTGTTTTGTATAGGCGAATTGAAACGAACCAAAAGTGCTGCTTGTTATTACCTCACTATATGGTCTCGTGTATTTACTGAAGATCAAATACAGCAAATAATATTGTTAAGAAATTATGCACTCATGAACGGCGAGAGAGGGCATTTACTCCGCACCCCATGTCCGTTCCATGGATCGTACCGGGATGCACGTGGGCCGTGTATCACATGACTGTCGCTTAGTGTTTGCAAAGTTTGTAAATTTTTCTTATCGGCGTCTACTTTCTATCGAGGGGCGTCGCGTTTCTTCTCGGCTCAAACCCAACCTCGTCGGACTCACATCTTTCCAGGCCCAATTCGGAGTCTATCATAATCATGGCACCTGCTCCGATCGCATCTTCGAGCGACGATATCGCGACTGTTCTCCAACTAGTTACGCCACCTCAGATTGCCCCGCACCGCTCCCACGACCCCTCCAACAATCAAAAGCGGAGTGATCCCTTCCAGTTCGGCTCCCGCTACCTGGAAGAAGGAGACGATGTCTTCGAGTTCAACGCCTGGGACCATGTAGAGCCCGACGACGAATTTAAAGCCTTTGCAGAAGTCCAATATTCTAAGCAGCGCGAAACCCCGGTTTCCGATTTCGACAGAAACCGTTTTAATGCCGATCCTGCCAAATGGTGGAACCTTTTCTACAAGAACAACACATCCAACTTTTTCAAGAACCGAAAGTGGCTCCGCCAGGAGTTCCCTGTCCTTGCGGATGTGACTCAGCCTACTGCAGGAAAGAAGGTGGTGCTGGAGGTCGGTGCAGGTGCCGGAAATACCGCCTTCCCATTGCTGGAGAACAACGAGAACGAGGAGCTCATGGTTCATGCTTGTGATTTCTCCAAGACCGCTGTCAAAGTCATGCGCGAAAGCCCACACTACAACCCCAAGCATATCACAGCTGACGTGTGGGATGTCACGGCGGAGCCGGATGAGAACAGCAATGGACTTCCCCCGGGCCTTACTGAGGAGTCGGTCGATGTCGTCGTTCTCATCTTTATCTTCTCTGCCTTGGCTCCGGAGCAGTGGAACCAGGCTCTTCGCAATGTGTATCGCGTCTTGAAACCCGGCGGACATGTCTTGTTCCGCGATTACGGAAGGGGCGACCTGGCACAGGTTCGATTCAAGAAGAATCGGTACATGGGCGAGAACTTCTACGTTCGTGGTGATGGAACACGGGTGTACTTTTTTGATCGTGATGAGCTGGAGAAGATGTGGGGCCAATGGACTCCGGAGAAGGGCCTGCCCACGGCACCTGCGACAGGAGAGGAAATCGAGGTCAAGGAGGAACAGAACCCTACCGACACCAAGGGTGTCTTTGACATCGAGAAGCTAGGTGTCGATTACCGGTTGATCGTTAACCGCCAGCGCAAGTTGAAGATGTACCGCTGCTGGATTCAGGGCCATTTCCTCAAGCGTGATACCACTGCCGCCGTCGATATCCCGAAGAACGAATCGTGAGATTCTTTTGGCTCTTCCGGAATAACCTAGTACATGGCTCTGGGGCCCGGTCGAAGTCGCAGGACGATCACTAATAGTGGCGTCGGCATCGAACAAGCGACTGTTGTCCAATCCACATGCAAACAGCCAGCTTCCTTTCCATGCCACATAACTATCACATGAAGACTCGGGGGGCTTTTCTTTCGTTCGGACGAAGCTTCAGACTCATTCGACGCTCGAATGTACTCTCACAGATCACATGGAACGGACAAGGCTTAGGGCAGTTGGTCACGCGCACAGCCAGTTCGTTGCGACATTTTGCCAATATCGCAATCGACTTTTGGTGAAATAGAAGACAGTCATTTGGCGCAAGCGCTCTCATATTGGCAATGAACGCATGAGTGAGTTTCTGATCCTCGAGGGAGGATCTGATGATACCCATGACGATAGATAGAGACTAGACTAGATCACATTTGGTTGCATTCTTGCATTCTTAGGGCAAAATTCACCTGGATCATCAATCCAATTCATCGCATTCATTTCCCGGGCTCATTCATTGGGCGGATCTTGGGAACCTTGTTCTATCCTAAGTATCACAAGCTTGAGTAAAATGACCCTATCGACATTCCCGACGGCTCATGGTACGTAGGTGAGGTTTATGCTTGTCTCCTCATAGTCCGAAGAAACAGATTCAGGGGGGTATCTCAAGATAATCTCCGTGAATAGATCCCGTAAGGCGATGTCTGACCAAACGTGACCCATGCATACTCCGGCATGAGCAGGAACCGCAGGTTGAAATTACCTTGCTTCCGACCAAGGGACAATTGGCCATACCCAGGAGCTCAGGACAAACAGGGATCAAACAAACTTCGAGCGGATGTTTTCAGCGACCACGCGGACATGCCACAGAACCGGAAGGGGTCTTGTGTCGATTGGTATGTGAGATTCCTCATTCCTGCACTCGTCACCCTCCCATTTGCAACAAGGCCACATACACAGCTACTGCCGGCCCATGTTTCGGGTCAGCTCGGTCTTAATTTGCCTTCATGGCTAACGAAGGATTCAATTGTTTTTGTCTGACAATGATATAAAGCACTCGGTCATGTTATATGCTTCAGCAGCGCCCCTATGGCAGGTGATACGGTCTGCTGAAGTCCCCAGCCTAGCCCAAACGCCAGCATCAGCCTCAGCAGTCGTTGATCCTGCCCTATTCCGTCGCTCATTCGCCTTGCCTATTGCATCGGAGGGCCCTGTTGGAGTCTTGCACCTATCAGGGAAAACGTGCGCACTGCACCCACTCGTTCCGGCTGGGGTCTAGAAATCTGGACGGTCCCAGGCAGATCGGTGCCTGGGCAAAACCTTGATAAAAATAGCTTGTTCGATCTTGCGTTAGACAGCCAATTGTATACTCACTGGAGACACTTGATGATTCAGTCTGTGACGTACGTGCACCTACACACTCCGTCGATGGATTATGTGTCCCCGTGGGCACGCGGAGATCGGGGACATCAGTCGAGAAACTTGCCTAATCTAGTGACAAGCAGAAAAGTCAAAGTCATCCGCATGCGACTTGCAGATCATCTAGAGGGATATAATAAAGTCGTGCGTTTATGACCTTGCAGGAAACGACCCGCCTCCTCCTGCCTTCTTTATTATCGATACCCTCTGCCACTAGCGTCGTACATCACACTTCACAATCCATTCTCCTCTCATTCATCATGAAGTTCACAAATTATCTCTTGACGACTGCAACGCTCGCAAGCAGTGTCCTAGCGGCTCCTGCTCCCCGCACCGGTTTGGAGGACAGACTCCGTGCCCGGTCATTGCAGCGTCAATCACATCCTCTGGCACCTATTCCACTTGACACATCCACCAAAGAGAATTCCAGACTCCTCGAAGCCGACGAGAATACCACCCATGTTACATACAGCAGTAACTGGGCGGGCGCAGTGCGCGAGCAACCACCTCCGCAAGGCACGTATTCTGCCGTGTCGGCAACCTTTCGTGTACCAGAACCCACGGCGCAAGGGGGGAGCGGAACGCAGGCTGGGTCGGCCTGGGTCGGGATAGATGGCGACACATACAGCAACGCCATTCTGCAGACAGGAGTCGACTTCTACGTGGAGAACGGGCAGACGTACAACGATGCCTGGTATGAGTGGTACCCAGACTATGCATATGACTTCGACCTAGATGTAAGCACAGGGGACACGATCGTCGCCAAGGTGGAAGCCATCTCGCCAAGTCAAGGTGTAGCCACTATTGAGAACATATCGACGGGGAAGAAGGCCACGCAGACGATCAGAGCCCCAGCTGCGACAGCTACCCTTGCCGGCCAGAATGCCGACTGGATCGTGGAGGATTTCCAGTCTGGCGACTCAATGGTCGATCTGGCTGGTTTTGGCGAGATCAGCTTCTGGGGCGTGCAAGCACAAGGAGGAGGGTCTACATGGGGTGTAGATGATGCGACTATTGTCGAACTGAAGCAGGGCAACGAAGTGTTGACAGACGTGGAGGTGCAAAGTGATTCGGCCTTTACGGTGAAATATACGAGCTGATGTGATGGTATATGGTCGCACATTCTCATTCTTCGATTATCTTTTTCTCCTTTTGGCCGGTGACATAATTTCTGGTTGATTTCGAAAATCCCTTGATGTATTTCGGTAGTAGTAGTTTTAAGGTTGATACATCCAGCATGCGGGCTCGGCTATTGGGAGGAACCAAGAAGGCTATATGGCCCTCGGGTATTAGCCGCATTCTAGGATCGCATGCCTTTTCGGCTTTCCTTATATATATCTACTTTCCATTTCCTCAACCTCCTTCTTGATGCGAGAATCTACCCACCCATACAATTAACCATGTCCCGTATATACAAACTAAGCCGAGCACTTCAGCGCAGCCAAGTTGGCGCGCTCCGGCCGCGCTCTCTACTACCCGCTCGGTCATCCCGCTGCGGCTTCAGCACCAGCGCCACACGCCCATTGATGGAATTAACAGGCTTCACCGAAGAGCAACTAACAGTGCGCGACGCCGTATCCGCCATCTGCGCCAAATTCCCCAACACATACTGGCAGGATTGCGACCAAAATGAGCGCGACCCGAAAGAGTTCCACGCCGCCCTAGCCCGAGACGGATGGTTAGGAATCGCGCTGCCTGAGGAACTAGGAGGCGCAGGTCTAGGTACACCCAAATCTTCCTATTCTATCATTTTTCATTGCAATTGCAACTAATACCACGTCCAGGAATCTCCGAAGCAACAATGATGATGCAAACCATCACCCAATCCGGTGCTGGCATGGCCGGCGCGCAAGCCATCCACGCCAACGTGTACGCAACACAACCACTCGCCCGCTTCGGCACCCGCGAGCAACTGGAAGAAACCATCCCCAAGATCATCAATGGTACATGGCGCACCTGCTTTGGTGTCACAGAGCCCAACACGGGTCTGGAAACGCTCAAGCTGAAGACGCTAGCTACCAAAAAGTCCCGCGGGGATAGTGATATCTACTCCATCTCAGGCCAGAAGATCTGGATTACCTGCGCGCAAGTCGCTAGCAAAATGATCCTGTTAGCGCGCACGACCCCTCTGGAAGAAGTGAACAAGTCGACACAAGGCCTATCTATGTTCTGCATCGACCTCGACCGCACACAGCCCGGTCTGGACATGCGCAAGATCAAGAAGATGGGCGGACGTGCCGTCGACGCCAACGAAGTCTTCTTCGATGGGTACGAAGTGCCCGCGAACACACTCATCGGACAGGAAAACGAAGGGTTCCGGATCATTCTGCATGGTATGAACGCGGAGCGGTGTTTGCTGGCGGGTGAGGCATTGGGGCTGGGGTATGCGGCGCTGGAGCGAGCAGCTGATTATGCGAAGGAGAGGGTGGTGTTTGGACGGCCGATTGGGCAGAATCAGGGCATTGCGCATCCGTTGGCGGATGCGTATATGAGGCTGGAGGCGGCCAAGCTGGCGACGTATCATGCTGCGAGATTGTATGATGCGTCGAAGAAGGATGAGGGGATACCGCTGCATTCCGTCGGGGTGGCGTGTAACAGTGCCAAGTATTTGGCTGCTGAGGCGGCGTTTACGGCGTGTGAGAGGGCGGTGCTGAGCCATGGGGGCATGGGGTATGCGATGGAATATGATGTGGAGAGGTACTTGAGGGAGTGCCTGGTGCCCAGGATCGCGCCGGTCAGTCGCGAGATGATTTTGAATTATGTTAGTGAAAAGGTGTTGCAGTTGCCGAGGAGTTATTAGATGGCTGGTTACAATCATCAGGCAAGCGGTTATTATAGGAATTGGAAATCGTTCTCAGAAGAGAGAAAATGTAAACTGCAGACCTGGCAGACTACATGCTAGATGCATAAGCTGTTGACCATTGTATCTACTATCACACGCTAAGTAACATAGTAAGGGCGATCCAGACCATCAAAATCTATATTCCTTCTCTGTCTGAGCGTTGTATAACTCATATCCTTGACATGCTAGCGTCTTCTATCCAAAACCTTCATGTCTTTGTTTCCCGTACCGCTCTTTTCAGACCCATTGATATGTTCAACCAACGTCAATTTAAACAAATGCCGGTTATCAGGCAGAACAAGGAAGAAAGTCTCCACTTCATAAACAAATTGCTCATGGGAGACCAAGCTCTTACTCGCTGCAGCACGAAGCATCCTAATCTCTAGGGTTGTCTGTGGTGAAGATTCAAGGGTTCGACAATGATCTGCCACTGCAGAATCCCAAAAGTCTCCTTCTGCATTGAACTTCTTAATATTCGTGAATTCGTAAGACTCACCATACCAGTTCAAGCTAAATCAACAGTCGCGACCCCTGAGTCGAAGAACGCGTAAGTAAGTATATTACTCTGCAAAAGAGAACACGTTTTGGCACCTCGGAACTTACAGGTCTTTCTTGGTGGTCAGAGGCCACGACTCAAGGGTGCTAGTAGAGTCTATACTAGATTGTGCCTTCACAGCAGCCTGGATCTCTTTAGGACCAGGTGGGTAGATTATATCGGGACCAAGGAGATAATCAGAAAGAAAGAAGATCGTAATGTTAAGGATTTAAAGAGGAAGGGGTCTGTTGTACCCTCGCGTTGCGGCCAGATATGGGCATAGACAACGCCGTTCAGGTCTATATGCTACTTCTTGGTCAGCTAATCGCGACAAGTCATCTTTTGCCTCCATAAGATGCTCTGCCCAGCTCGGAGCTAAATGGATTCTATAAAACTCGATGTGGACTAGACGCCTAATAATGGCGTTTCGCATCGAGTAATTTGCGTAGTTTTGCCTGTTCTCCTCCGAAGCTGCTAAAGCCAGAACAGGTTAACTAGTACTTCCCAGGGCTTCCTGCATACACTTTAGGAGAGTAGCACGTAAGGTTGGGCTTACGAAATCCAGGTACGGGGTTGTGTTACAGTGCGACGCGGGGATTCGTATCCTCTTCAGTTGATTTGGATACTACTAAAGCATTATGTAGGACTGCTTACTATAGTAGTCTGAATGCCTTACACCCTCGGCCTCAGCGCGAAAGTGAATTGCATCGAATTAGGTGACAACCTCCAGCGTGCAAAGAGCTGCGCATTTTCCACCAGAGTCCGCCGCAGCATCTTCCCCCTCTCCTCTACACCAGGCCACATGCCCTGCCATTTGCGTACATACGGTTCCATGATTTCTAAGGCCTCCCTGGTCCACTTCCCTGCCCTCTCGTTGACAGTCCTCCCCTTCTGCACCATCCGCCTCTTCAGCTCACCCAGGAACCGCTCCCTCTCCTGCTTGTCCTTCACCGCAGCCTGCATGACCGCTAGTAGTATATGTGACCGGATTGACAAGTCCAACTCATCCATCTCGATTCCTTGGAGTCCTAATCCAACTGTCTCCTCCACCGCAACAGCGGCTAGGAAATCTACCTCCTCCTCACTCCCGACCTCTTCTTCCCACCCCCTCCACCACGCCTGCCCTTCAATTCCTCCATCCGGCCACCCACACCATATAAGCTGCTCCGGCTGGGTATCTCCCTCGATAATCTCTCCCCCCGCTATCCGTGTGAGGTACTCTGCTTCTAACCTGTGTATATCATACTTTCCCTGCGCGACCAATATCCCAAAGCTATGGGGCCTCCATGCTTGCCAAGGAGTCACCTCAGCCACGCGAGATGGAGATGGATCAGGAGTAAAATAGTCAAGCCAGTAGCGCGCATGTGATTCGGAATAGGGTGGTGCGCTGGGGTATGCCGTGTGCAGGCGTGTCATAGTTGCCTCCAGCGTGCTGAGGGCTACTGCAGTAAGAGTCTCAAATGGAAGAAAGGGCTGCCTACGACGTGTGCACCCGACAGTGTAGGCCCAACGGGGGATTTTTAGGATGTGTAGGGATGCCAGACTATGGCGCGGCTGGCATAGTGGGCAGGAGGAGTCAGGCAGGTCCTGGAGGTCGGGCAGGCGGTAGAAGCGTGCTGTGGTACGCTGGGTGAGGAAGGGGTAAGAGTAGTAGGAGCGCCAGGCGGAGGAGTGCAGGAGGGCGTGGTGGGCTATGTACAATGCCGGGAAATCAGAGAAGGAGGGGAAATCATCTTCCAGTTGGGAGGTATAGCGGTAGATGGCGGCTGCTAGCTGTGCGAGGTAGAATATATCCAGAGAACTGTTATTTATTGCTATTGAGGCAGTGCCTCTCGGGGGTGGTCATGGTATGAAATAGTAGACTTACCGATTAAAGCGTAAAACGCCCCCACCAAAGGACAAGCCATGCGAGTGCAGCTTCTCCACAACATCAAACACCCCATTCCCGGTCCACAGGCCCTCGTCCAGATAGATGAATGCGATCCGCAAGACATCCTCATGGCAGGTCACTGGTACGATTCCGCCTTCAACATTGGCCAAGAATTCTTCAGCGCTCGTTGTAACATCAATGGCACGTGCGTCAATGAGACAATTAGTGGTAATTGGGGAAGAGAATGTGATTTCCAGATCCTCAGTCAGAATGGAAAGTGCTCCGCGTGCTCAGACCCAACGTCCTTCAGCTTCAGGGGCGGGGAAGCCAAGCAAGGCACTTAGTAGTACTTGTCTATCAGTCTTTGAACATTAGACCACCGAATAGTCTATACGATCTGCCTTTGCATCACTAGGCCTTGTCTATTAAGAAAAGGTGCTCAACTGCTACAGTGGGTGGCGGGCATTGGGCGAAGGAGGTACTGCTACTGAACTATGCTGCTAGCATTTGGTGAGGTGCGAGAAGGTCTCGCATCCCAATGGACAGCAGGGGAACTCAGTTTGCCATCATCCATTCCGGATAGAACAACACCGCGACATCGGTCTTCGCGCAGAACCTGCAAGGCAAAGTATCGAGGAGCGGCTTCTTCGTAGCTGCAGTCCCTATGTCGAGGGAACTCCTCGATAGGGTCTGGAATGACGCGTTGGCTGAATGTCCCAGAACCAGCCGCGGGATGCACTGTGGGCGAGGGGACATAGCATACACGAAGGAGGTCTTCCTCTGCAGGTTTCAGAGGCATACGTTCCGGGAATCGAGATACCGAGTCCGTCCACCACCTCTCGACAATGTCTGTTATAGCAGATACTAAAGCATTGTTAAGTTCTTTCCACTGACGCTGATGCCCCGAGGAGACGAGAACTGGCCGAGAAATTAAGGTCGATCTTGAGTTAATATGCCATGGCCTGTAAGCTCTCCTGAATTGCCTCCTTGTCTTTGCCGTATGTCGCATTTCGAGAGTCGACAGAAGTCATGGGCTCCGGATTCCCAATTACCGGTCTCATACCACTCAGTGGGTGCCTGACTAAAGGAAACAGCTTAGTAACCATTGGACCTCTCATTAAGGCCCTACGAACTATACTACGAGGATCGATAGTAGAGGACTTAGAGATTCAAGGTACAGCTAGTCGTGGTACAATGTCATAATTCTCGGCATACTAGTTACCGGAATCAGGGTTGGATCACAGTAGCACAGAATACAGGCAGCAACAATTGCTACTAGCTAAACAAGGATTATACACCCGAATAAGCACATTACTGTTAGGTATCTAAATGATATACTGAAAATAACAAATGCGTATCTTTCCAATAATATGTACTCCGGAAGGATTATCGCGGACTTGCTGGTCGTAGTTTCGACGGCCTCAAGGTTCCCTCCCACCTATTGTTTCCGCATGCCGAAATGCAACGTCCTAAAGCTGACACAGCTTCCGACGACCAGCACGCATGTCGAATCAGGAGCATGGAAATAAATTTGAATGCATGCAGACCCTAGTAGGATACTGCCATGTATGCATGTTCCAGGGCATAGATTCAGAAGTGGAAACTCCAGGCCTCCGTTAAACTGAAGCAATTATATTTACAGCGCCCGCGAACTAGCTACGCATGCAATCTATGTCAACTGCTGGTTCCCGTCTGGACCGAATCTCCAGAGACTCTACCGTCCTGTCTCTCCGATCCAAGAAACTCCGCAGGTGGGTCGTTGGAGCTTTTCTGAGAATGTAACACTTGCTTATAAACCGGCTGTTCTTCCTCCTTCAAACCACACCCAGACGGGTCCCTTCGGATAAGAAAGTGTTGAACCCTTGCATCTACCGATTGCATCTGATGCTGAGTATTCTCCCTGCGCCCTTTCAGAAGGCGGGAGGACTCTTCGTTCAGCTCCCAAAGTCGGTCTTCGTAACCGCTGCTGAGTTTGCTAATCCAAGATGCCTGCAGCGCTCCGCCCATTAACGTCAGAAGAATGACGAATGTCGCAAAGGTCCGATGGTCCACCAAAGTTTGCTGCTTTCCCTGGTGGCGATTATTCCACCTTTCCCAGTCTTCCCAGGTCGCGTTCGCGTATATCGGACCGTAGTTACTGGAGCCTGTTCTAGCCCAGGATGGGATCGGCGTCTCATAAGGATGGAGATTCCACCCCGCACCACTGAAGTCGTAGGCGGCTCGTCTACTTGGATCCGATAAGATTTCATGGGCAGCCACTAGAATGTGGTATCGCTGAAGCCTCACTTCGGGCGTGAGGTCTCTGCATAGTGGATGTCCGCTACATGGGCGATCTGGGTGGTAGATTTTGACCATTTCATAATATCGGGCCTTGGAATAGGGTGCGGTCCGATCCTGTTTAAACAGCTCGTAGGGTGTGAATGTGGGAGACGACGGCCATGAAAGATCCGTCTCAGGGTTGTGAGAAGCGGTGGCATAGCGCCTGGCGGAATAGCGAGACTGTGAGGGGAAAGCACGATACCGAGGTGGCGAGGACAGACATGGGGAGTTCAGTAACTGCAGTCCACCCCCACAGCAAAGGATGTTGGGTTTCTTGAACATGGCCGCATGGTTTCACATGGAGAGATATGTGAGACCTCTCCGGAATGTCTTAGACCGATGGCAAAGTAAAAAGTGCCGGGGTTTGAACGGGATTGTTCTAGTCGTCGATACAAATGATCCCGCTAATTCCGAAGTTCGGATCTCCACATGAGGTCATCACGTGCGGATCTCCAGAGCTCCAAAGCTTCCCGCATGAAAACTACTTTTCATCCCCGTCGACGCTGGGTATATTTGTTGTATAGAAAATGCCAGATTCACGCGACGATTACAGCCGGAGACGGCACCGATCCCCCTCCGGCTCTCCGGCTCCAGACCGCGATCAACGCCAGCGACGCCGTGACGAGGACCGTGGCAGCGATTCCGGGCATCGCGAATCTCATCGAAGCTCCCGAAGAGATAGCTCGCGACGACGGTCATCCCGCAGCCCGGCCGACCGACGAAGCCACAGAAGAGATTACGACAGTCGCCGTAGTGAGCGCAGGGATAAGGAGGATGTCTCAGAGGATGACCGGAGAAGACGCCGACATACTTCCGATCGAGAGTCTTCATACCGTCGTCACCGTGACCGAGATTCGTACGACAGAAAGGAGAAGTCTTCTCGCAGACGACGTGATTACTCGCGATCCCGCTCGCCTACAAGGCGCTCGCCGGGCCCGGACTCGCGCGCGCCAGTACGATCAAAAGCGCCCCTACCTCCGCAGCAGGATGCATATACCTCGTCTGAAGTAGCACGGACTGGAGAGTCGGAAGGCCCTCCTCCGGAGAAGGAGAAGCCCAATTTCGCCCAAACTGGGCGATTGGCTGCAGAGAGCAAGACTGTGAATGTTAATGGTAGCTCTGTCGTTCTCAAATACCACGAGCCCCCGGAAGCGCGCAAACCCCCAGCAAAGGAACCGTGGCGATTCTATGTGTTCAAAGGGCAGGACCTTCTTGAAATGGTGGAATTGGGTATACGCAGTTGTTGGCTGATTGGGAAAGAGCAATTGGTTGTGGATTTTCCTCTAGAGCATCCGAGTTGCTCTAAGCAGCATGCCGCGCTGCAGTTTCGCTTTGTCGAGAAGAGGAATGAATTTGGAGATCGAATCGGACGTGTCAAGCCTTATCTGATTGACCTGGAAAGCGCCAATGGCACTACGGTGAACGGAGACGCGATTCCCGCTGGTCGGTACGTGGAGCTGCGGGATAAGGATGTGGTCCAGTTTGGCCTCAGCTCCCGCGAATACGTCCTTATGCTACCTCCGCCTGAATAGGCTTGATATCTTACTGACATTACTCCGCATTGATCTTTCAATGCGATGGGTACCTTGGAGAATCATCCAATCTTCGACATTGGCTTCAAGTCCCGTTTTCGGAAACATACCTCGTGGATATAAACCCCGTTCAGTACTTCGTTCGGCATACTTGTCAAAGCCCCTGACAGTTCGTGCCATCCAATTTCCCATGTTTTCCAAAACGTATGATGAAACTCCGAGCTGTTCGCGAAAGCAGGCTTGCTCACCTTAACGAGTGATTCGTGTGGAGTTGCTTGAGATAACACGTTCGGCACATGTGTTGCCGTGGATACTCTTATTTCATCCTCCAATGCATTCGCTCCATCCACCAACACAAAACCTCTTCTTATGCTCAGCTGAATGATGAACCAACGGTCATTATTCGGGGAGCAGGCCAACTGCTACGCAGGCGTCAAATATACTCCCGGCGCGCTTGCTCATCGAAGGCTGGCATTGCGATAGGCTTAAATGAATACCTGTGTAACGATGCCTTTTAGTCTGAAGTTCTCATGTGTAAATATTTACTGAGGCAGCATCGAATAACCTTGGGGAAGGGACATGCTCAGGAGCCAGAGACGTAGACAGCCGAGTCAAACAAAGAGAGGATTTGGAGGATTTGCAAATGCCTCCTGACAAGTAAGGATATTCCGCCCTTACTAGGAGTTACTACTGGCTAGTATCAGTATAAATCAGGTCATATTACGCATGAACTCATTGATATCTAGTATTGAGCTAGTAATACTAGTAGATATTAGTCGTTGTAGTGGTAGAGGTTAAGACCATTGGCCACTGGAGTACAAGTAGTAGTGGCCAATTAATATAACCATCGTGACACTGCTTTTCATCTTCAACTCAACTGGTATACCATGTGACGTCACTCAAGCAACAAATATTCCTTATTGGATTCATAATGGACTCTTAATAGCAGCGATTAAAATTCAGGGGCAACCAATCCCTATACAAATGTCGCTGGACCATGTATTCAGTCACCCCTGCTCTTCTCCGCATACTTCCCTACCGGCCGGGCTAGACCACACCCGGTTAGGCTGACAGGCAGCAGGCGGTCACAGTTCTGCCGGATGATCATCGTGCCTCATTATCAATCTGATCACCCACACTCCGCTTGCTTGTCATCCCCAAGTCTGGCTGGTCTGTTGATTCTCACTGATTTCTCGGCTCAATTAGAAGCCAGTTTGTGATTCAAATAATCTCATAATGGCTGTCAACGGATCTGTTGAGACCCAGTGGCTTGCCCAACTGGCAGCCATGCGCCAGGCTATTGCGGACTTGAAGCTCCCTCAAGACCCCGCCAAAGATACAAGCTACGGAAGCGACCTGGATTTGGATTTCGACGAAGACTACTCATCGCCCGGAACTGCCGATGACGATATCTGGGACATTATCAGCTCCGACGAAGAGGCCAGCGACGATTTCGATGACTATGACGAGCTCCCCTCTCCTCCGACATCATCCGCCTACGACCAGCTCTGGCTCGAGCAGAAGTGCATGAGCCTTGCTGCTAACAAGCCGGGTATGGATGCCGGAGAACTAGCACAGCAAATCACTGCTGCCCTAGCGACGGACAGCGGAGACGACGAGTTGCAGATGTCCCTGGCCGAAATCGTGGGATTCGATGACCTCGACTTCGTGATTGACTTGATTGCTCACAGGGCGGATATTGTCGCGAGCTCGCATACCGGTCCAGAGGCCCAGACAGATGGGTTGATGGCTGGAAAACTCATGACGAGAGCGGAAAGAGAGCAAGCTTTGCGACAGGCGGATTACGAACACAAGCATGCGTCGTTGATGCCGGCTCAAACTAGATCGGAACCGCATTACCCCCATGTATTCAAATTGCACGAGTCCAGAAATGTCCTTGCATTGGGAGGAAAGAGATATGGACTGCCAATGGGCAGTAAGCAAATCGATGAGAAGAAGTATACCGAGGTCGAGGTTCCCGCGTCCAAGGTCGGTACCCTGAGACCCGGGCATAAACTCGTGGAGATCGCCTCGTTGGATGGATTGTGTCAAGGGACCTTCAAGGGATACAAGACCCTCAATCGGATGCAGAGTCTACTATATGAAGTAGCATACAAAACAAATGAGAACATGCTGATCTGTGCCCCGACTGGTGCTGGTAAGACGGATGCTGCTATGCTCACAATCCTAAACGCCATTGGAAAGAACACTGTCCCAAATCCCATAGAAGAACCACAAGCCACCGAGTTTGCGGTGCAGGTCGAAGATTTCAAGATTATCTACGTTGCTCCGATGAAGGCACTGGCCGCTGAAGTTACCGAGAAGCTCGGGAAACGTCTCGCTTGGTTAGGGATCAAGGTTCGAGAGCTTACTGGTGATATGCAACTCACAAAGCGAGAGATCGTGGAGACTCAAATCATCGTTACTACCCCTGAAAAATGGGATGTGGTGACCCGAAAGAGCACGGGAGATACAGAGCTCGTGCAAAAGGTGCGCCTGTTGATCATCGATGAGGTCCATATGCTTCATGACGAGCGTGGTGCCGTTATTGAATCATTGGTGGCTCGTACCCAGCGTCAAGTTGAAAGCACGCAATCACTTATCCGTATTGTCGGTCTCTCCGCAACTCTCCCGAATTATGTCGATGTCGCCGATTTCCTCAAGGTCAACAAGATGGCCGGTCTGTTTTTCTTCGACCAGTCCTTCCGTCCTGTCCCTCTGGAACAACATTTCATTGGCGTTAAGGGCAAACCTGGCACCAAGCAGTCTCGCGAGAACCTTGATGTTGTGGCTTTTGAGAAGGTCCGTGATATGCTCGAACGAGGGCATCAAGTCATGGTTTTTGTCCACTCGCGTAAGGATACTGTCATGACTGCCCGAATGCTGAAGCAGATGGCCAGTGAGGATGGGTGTGAGAATCTGTTCAGCTGTCAGGAGCACGAAGGTTATTCGAATGGTCTTGGTGATGTGAAACGCAGTCGCGCTCGCGAACTGCGTGAGCTATTTGCCAGTGGGCTTGGGACACACCATGCCGGTATGAGCCGGAGTGATCGTAACCTCATGGAGCGCCTGTTCTCCGAAGGACTCATAAAAGTACTCTGCTGTACTGCCACACTTGCGTGGGGTGTCAACCTTCCTGCTGCCGCGGTTGTCATCAAAGGTACTCAGTTGTACAATCCGCAAGAAGGTAAATTTGTCGATCTAGGTATATTGGATGTGCTGCAGATCTTTGGTCGTGCTGGTCGTCCCCAATTCCAAGACACTGGTATTGGTTTCATCTGTACGACCCACGATAAGCTCCACCACTATATATCTGCCGTAACATCACAGCAACCGATTGAATCTCGGTTCTCCAGCCGGCTGGTGGATAACCTGAATGCCGAGATTTCTCTAGGAACGGTCACCTCTGTCCCAGAAGCCGTGCAATGGCTGGGCTATTCTTATCTTTTTGTTCGTATGAAACGAGAGCCTCGCAATTATGGAATTGACTTCGCAGAAATGCGTGACGATCCTATGCTGGTGCAAAGACGTCGTCAGCTAGTCATTCAAGCTGCTATAGTGTTGCAAAAGAGTCAAATGATCATATACAACGAAAAGACCGAAGAGTTGCGCGCGAAAGATGTTGGCCGCATCGCAAGCCAGTACTATGTCCTGCAGACCAGCGTTGAAATTTTCAACAATCTCATGCGTCCTCGAGCCAGTGAGGCGGATGTGCTCAGAATGATCAGTATGAGTGGTGAATTCGATAACATTCAAGCACGGGAAAGTGAGTCCAAAGAGTTGAATAGACTGCGTGACGAGGCCATCCAGACCGAGGTAGAAGGAGGTAATGACTCGCCACATGCCAAAACCAACATTCTGTTGCAGTCATATATCTCTCGTGCTAGGGTCGAAGACTTTGCTCTGGTGTCTGATACAGGGTACGTGGCGCAGAATGCAGCCAGAATTTGTCGTTCCTTGTTCATGATTGCATTGAACCGCCGTTGGGGTTACCAATGTCAAGTTCTGCTGTCACTCTGCAAGGCTATCGAGAAGCAGATGTGGCCCTTTGATCACCCATTTCATCAGTTCGATATTCCTCAGCCGATCCTTAGAAACTTGGATGACAAGCTTCCAACATCCTCCATCGAATCTATGAGAGACATGGAAACAGCCGAGATTGGCCAGCTGGTTCACAACCAAAAAATGGGGAAGACGTTGGCAAAGCTGCTCGACAACTTCCCTACCCTTGGAGTGGAGGCTGAAATTGCACCATTGAACCGTGATGTTCTACGAATCCGACTGAGTCTGTACCCAGAGTTTATTTGGAATGATAGGCACCATGGTGCTTCCGAATCATACTGGATCTGGGTGGAAAACTCAGAGACGTCTGAGATATACCACCACGAATACTTCATTCTCAGCAGGAAGAAGCTCAACGATGAACACGAGTTGAATTTTACCATCCCGCTGTCCGATCCTCTGCCTAGTCAAATCTACGTTCGTGCGATATCTGACCGCTGGTTGGGCGCAGAAACGGTGCACCCTGTGTCTTTCCAGCACCTGATTCGACCAGACACGGAAAGCGTATACACTGACCTTCTCAATCTCCAACCGCTTCCCATATCTGCGCTAAAAAACCCGATACTGGAGGAGCTCTATGGGCAGCGCTTCCAATTCTTCAACCCCATGCAGACGCAGATCTTCCACATGCTGTACCACACCCCGGCTAATGTTTTGCTGGGCTCCCCGACAGGTAGTGGAAAGACTGTAGCCGCAGAGCTGGCTATGTGGTGGGCCTTCCGAGAAAAGCCTGGCTCGAAGGTTGTTTACATTGCGCCAATGAAGGCGCTCGTTCGTGAACGTGTTCAGGACTGGAAAAAGCGTCTTACAGCACCAATGGGCCTGAAATTGGTTGAGTTGACAGGTGATAACACTCCTGATACGCGGACCATTCGGGACGCCGATATCATCATCACAACCCCGGAAAAGTGGGACGGTATCTCCCGTAGTTGGCAGACTAGAGATTACGTGCGGAAGGTGAGCTTGGTGATTATTGACGAGATTCACCTGCTGGGTGGTGATAGAGGACCAATTCTTGAAATCATCGTGTCTCGAATGAACTACATTGCTTCGCAATCCAAGGGCTCTGTTCGTCTGATGGGCATGTCCACTGCATGCGCGAACGCGACCGACTTGGCGAATTGGCTCGGCGTGAAAGAAGGACTGTATAACTTCAGACACTCCGTGCGTCCTGTGCCGCTTGAGATCTACATTGACGGATTCCCGGAGCAGCGTGGGTTCTGCCCGTTGATGCAGTCCATGAATCGACCCACCTTCCTGGCAATTAAGAACCACTCTCCCGAAAAGCCAGTGATTGTGTTTGTCGCTTCCCGTCGACAGACTCGATTGACTGCCAAGGATCTGATCAACTATTGTGGCATGGAGGATAACCCTCGCAGATTCGTCCGCATGTCCGAGGAAGACCTTCAGTTGAATCTTGCAAGAGTCAAAGATGAGGCATTGCGCGAAGCACTCAGCTTCGGTATTGGTCTGCACCATGCTGGTCTAGTCGAGTCAGACCGACAGCTAGCCGAGGAGCTGTTCGGCAACAACAAGATCCAAATTCTTGTGGCTACCAGTACCCTTGCCTGGGGAGTTAACCTTCCAGCACATCTGGTCGTGGTGAAGGGAACACAGTTCTTCGACGCCAAGATCGAAGGATACAGGGACATGGATCTCACTGATGTCCTGCAGATGCTTGGTCGAGCGGGACGTCCTCAGTTCGACACGTCAGGTATTGCGCGCATTTTCACTCAGGATGCAAAGAAGGCGTTCTACAAGCACTTCCTGCACACCGGCTTCCCCGTCGAGTCGACACTGCACAAAGTGCTGGATAACCACTTGGGCGCCGAAGTTTCCGCGGGAACAATCACAACGAAGCAGGACGCTCTTGACTACTTGACCTGGACATTCTTCTTCCGCCGGCTGCACAAGAATCCTTCCTACTATGGCCTTGAGATCTCCGCTGAGGAGCACAACACCATGGCAGCCCAGGCGATAGCACAGGACTTCATGATTGAGTTGGTTGATAAGTCGCTTGGGGAGCTGGCCGAGTCTTCCTGTGTCGTACTCGACTCAGCAACTGGTGACGTTGATCCAACCCCGTTCGGCAAGATCATGAGTTACTACTACCTGTCTCACAAAACGATCCGATACCTCATGTCGCACGCTAAACCCAACCCCACCTTCCATGATGTCCTCAGCTGGATGTGTTCAGCAACTGAATTCGACGAGCTGCCCGTGCGTCACAACGAAGACCTGATCAACGCCGAACTGGCACGCAACCTCCCCCTCTCAGTCGAATCGATGGGTGACCTTCCCCTCTGGGATCCGCACGTCAAAGCCTTCCTGCTGCTCCAGGCATACATGTCACGCATCGACCTCCCCATCTCCGATTACGTAGGTGATCAAACCTCCGTCCTCGACCAAGGCATCCGTATCATCCAAGCCTCGATCGACGTCATGGCTGAACTAGGCTATCTACACGCCTGCCACATGTTCATGTCTCTCCTGCAATGCATCAAATCAGCAAGATGGCCCGAAGACGCGCCCCTCTCTATCCTCCCCGGCATCGACCCGGTAGAGAAGAAATCGGCGCTCCCTACTTCACTCACCGCACTTGTATCTCTCCCCTTCAAAGCCACCGAAGCTCTCACCAAGAAGCTCAGTCTCCCCGCGCAGTTCGCAAAAGCTGCGTCCAACCTACCCAATATATCCCTGTCCATTCCCACCATCTCTCCAAACGGTCTCACCGTGACCTTGACACGCAAGAACGCCCCGAGGGACAGAGATTACAGGATCTACGCTCCTCGATTCCCCAAACCTCAGACGGAAGGATTCTTCATGCTCGTCTACAGCGGCGCATCCTCCGATGGCAAGAATGGAGAGCTCCTGGCTCTGAAACGTGTTTCCTGGCCGTCATCGTCAAACCAACGTAACGGATCTGGGCCCAGCAGGAAGCCAAACGATAACAGGAATGGACCGCTTGTCGTTCGTTCCTCTGTTAAGTTCCCCGAGAACGTGCGGGGACTGAGCATGCGGGTTACGATCAAGGTGATTAGTGATTCGTATCCGGGTATGGAGTGGACGCTGTCTGATGTGGAGGTAGATGCGGGGGTGCCCGAGAAGCAGACTTTGCCTGAGTCTTCGACTTTTCCTGAGAAAAGCTGATTCTGGTTCAAATCGAAGCAGAACTAGAAAATAAATAGATAAATGTTAGTACATAGAGCTCAATAGATGCCTTGGATATATTTAAAATCAAGTAAATTTACAAACAGATGAGAGGTATATATATAATTTGTAAAAGAGTTGGTAGTAGATAGTGTCCAAAAACACCAATTGCAATTGCAAGAGCGTATTTCATGTGTTGACGTTGTGCATCGCCAGAAAAAAAGTGAAGAAAACATGAGAACTAGCGTTAAGCTGACCCAAATGATGAAATGAAACGCAAGAAGAATCCAAAAACCAAATACCACCAACTCTGGTGCACCTAGCTGGATGAGGACATCAAAATGGTGAACGCTACCTGCGCTGTAGAAATAGGAACGAAAAGATACGGAACGTGATATAAGACCTGGAAGAAGAGAACAACAAGCACGTGATCATGACCATAAGCAACTTCCCAAGACTGATCGCTTAGATGGTGTCAACGAGTACCTCCTGTGATCGTCCAGGGAGATGGCTGCGATCAGCTTCCATAACCTGGGGCGCTTTCCCCTTCTTGTCGCCGACACGCTCATTGGGATCCAAACGGTCTGGCCGTGGCCTGATAGGTACAAGGACCTGCCTTCTTCCTTTCGAGACGGAGACGGATCGTGCGATTGAGATTTCGACGGTAGGAACGGGGTTTTCTGGGTCGGATGGGTTGCTGTCCTCTTGGGCGACCCCGGAGGGCTTAGGTCTTGGTGAGGTTGGGGAGGTTCGTCCGCTTGCTGGGGATGGGACCTCGTTTCTTTGTCGGGGCGCATGGACAGGCGTGTCTGACGATTCAGACAGAGTTGATGATGCATAGCTAGCCGTTCGGGGCGAATCCATCTGCGTATCGATCCTTAGCGGTGGAGGTGATTCGCGCACGGGTTCCTTTGCTGTAGGCTTCTTGTTGATGATCTCCCATTCTGGTTCCCGTGCGTCAAAGTAGGAGCGGACAGGACCTAATTTCTGCAAGAGGAGCCGTTCGTCCTCGGAACCAATGGTTGTGGAGGAAAGGAATGAAGACACTGAGTTCTGTTGCTTATGAGACGGCTGGGTGCTGTGGACCATGAGGACCACACTATTCTTTTCCGACAGATTTTCTTGATTCGATTCTCCCAAGGATGTTTGGCTCTTATGGATTGGGCTGGGACCACGAGGAATATTCTGGCTTCCCAAGACCTTCGAGGCCTTGCTGGTTCTGGTCGCCGGGAACAGGCTGAAGCTGGGACTGGGGGATTTCGACCGTGTCGGGGTTGGCGAGTGATGGGTGTCCTGGCGATTGTGTCAGTTTAGGAGATTTTTGCTAGTCGAATGGAAATTTAGACACGCTACCTGTTCAGTTGGAGGGTTGCTGTCTTCCAAATTCTTGCTGCGTCTACTCATGGAAGATGGCCTGTTCTTCTTGAGAACTCCTCCAAACATGACGCTGTATCGCTCCAGCTGAATGTCAGGAATGTCAACCTGGAGCAAGGGTCCAGATCCAAGAGACCGTTCCTTCTCTTGGGGCGATCCACTGGTCGCATCCGCGTGAGACTGTTGTGGCTCCTGTGTGGAAGTCTGGATTTCCGGTACTAAAGATGGCCATGCGTCTGTGCCTGAGGTCGGACTGGCAGGATTCTCGTGGCCTGAAGGCTGGGCCTTTGGCTGCTGGTCGAATGAATAGGTGGAGCCTTGCATTGGCCATTCGTTATCGAGTCGGACCTGATAAAACGGCTGATTTGGAGGGGCTGTCATGGCGGCCTTGGCCTTGAAGAGACCACCAATCTTCTTCCATTTGCTTGGCTTGCGCTGCAAAGAGGGTCGCGTTTGGGGTTCTGCCGGTTTGACAGGAACCGTCTCCTGCATCTGTGACGTGGGAACTTGCGGGTCGATCATACGGGGACTACCCAACGCGACGCCGATAAGACTTCCATTCATGTCATTATCAGTGCTGACGGGTGACGATACAGGGGAAGAGAGAAGCGGGGGAGCCTCGGTGTTGATAGGGCTCATGGCTTGCATCTTCTTCTGCTGGTGCCCCTCAGATACCCCTGGGCGATGAAAGCTCCGATTCACATGAGGCGCCGGGCGGCCTTTATTTGCACCATCCTCGATACATTTCTGATCTTTCCGTGGCAGCATATCAGGGTGCTTTGATGTAGGGGAAGAGCCAGCCTCCGCCTGCCGAATTGTACGCGACCTCCCTAGAAATGTTCCTCTAGCCATTTTTGACGACTGCCTGTATATCAAATACTGAAGTGAAAGTGGAGGGTAAAGTTCCAGAGTATTGCTGAGAGAAAAATAATGGTGAAAAGAAAGTAAAGAACGTTAGAGGGAACCGAGCCCTGTTTCTATCAAAAACCCAAGACAAAGGAATGGACGGCCTTCCAGAAGACCCAAAATTGAAATACAAGCAGTTCAGACAAGGAAAGAGTCAGTTCATGATGGGGAGAAAAGGAGAATCGGCGATAGAGGGTCAGCGCAGCATAGTTAAGACGTTGCGGCAGTTATTGTGGAGCACTAGGCAGAGCGCTATATCTAAGTGAGACGTGTGGCAGGGGCGAACTAGCGCGAGGGCTTAGATTAACACATTGTGCAAGATCTGACGAAGCGCGACGGCAGAAAAGCCAACAGAAATTTCCAGAGAAATTGCTCAGGAGAGACCACAAGGCATCCCCGCATGGCTGGCACTGGACACGGACAGTCGTCCAGTCACAGGTATTTGACAGCTCTGTGATTATGACATAGGTGAATGCTACCGAGAACCACACCAGGCGCTTATTCTAGTAGCTGCAAATCAGCGTTGGATGTTGCGGGCGCATTTGATTACGAGCGCGGGCGAGGGGCCAAAGAGAGAGGCACCGGCCGACGGATTCACCTTCAGCTGGAAACATGAGCGTTGGCGCAGCTGGATTCATTGGTTCCAGCTGTTCTGAAACCCCTATGCGCTCGACCAATGAGGTTGTGAATATCCTAATCGCCTGGCGATCACACAAGGCCTGAGACTCATTCTCAGGGCCTTGGTGTTACGGATCCTCTAACCGATGCCGCAGATGAGAAAACCCTTTCGCAAAATGCTCGTGCGACCGTGCCTGCATCCTGTCGGCAGCCGAAAGTCGTCGCATTTTCCGAGTCTCTTGGGCAGTGGATTGCGACAGCCCGTTAAGGCACGAGGCCCGCTAGATAAGAATTAGTAGTCCACTGGGGAAATTAGAGTAGGAGGCCGCCCAGGGAACTGGCCCGCGGCCCTCACCTTAAGTCACGGACCAGCCATCTCCTGAATGGCGTTTCCAGCTCCTTTGTTAATTCGTAGATCATGGGATGATGGCTTTACAATTTTGTGGTATCAAGATTATCATCAAAATCAAATGACGGACGGGATTTCCCGCAAACTATCCACTGTCATCGACAAGGGAATGGTTGTCGAGGATGAATAGACCATTAGACTGAGGAGAAAAAAGACCGACTGACGGATGGCTGCAGATGATCCCCAGCACCTGACTCGGTGACAGGCACGTGCCCAGTCAACCCACCAGGCATCATCATCTCAGCTCGGATTCCGCAAGTGACAGACGCTCTCAATGAAGTTGTCCATGGCAGAGGCTTAAGGGATGGATGGGCATAGAAGAGGCGGTAAGGAGGAACCGGTGAAAAAAGGCCCGCAAAGTGGACATGCTTGGGTGTCTAACAGGGTCTAGTTTTTGCACCGGTAGGGGACTAATCCTATACTGAGGCGGGTGAACTACGGAGTCGGCCTGCCGTTGGGCTCTCCACCGCCTGGATACTCTCTCTAGTCTCTACACATACCGTAGCTTTGGTGGATGATACCAAGGATGAGCTAGACAGTAATGGTGTTGGTTGGATGAGGCTATTCAAAGTCAAGCTCTTTGTTGCTACGGGAATGACGTAGGAAGACGTACCGTAAAACTCACCCCCAAAAGGGTAGATGACAGCTGGTCATAGGGAACGCAAGGGAAAGAAAAGGAAAAGGGCCTACTGAAATGGTGTTTGATCTCGGTAAGTACCACTTGGTGCTGAAATTATTCTTTGAAATAGGAGCGATTAGGGAGCATATGATGAATAGACGTAGATGATATTCATCTATCTTACGGTGACCGACAAGCAGAGAAAGTTGAAAAGTCGGGAATTGGCGGGGCAGAAATCAGTAGGAGATGCTCAGCTGGGAAAAGCAAATGGAAACCAATGCCACCCCCACCAGAGCAAACTAACCAACTAAAGTAGCAGCACCTCCCAAGCCCGCCTTAGTAAACTCACCTCATCGTCGGCCTCCTTCTCCCCCTCCTTTCCCACCAACTTTCTTCGAGACTCACCTCTACTATCTACTACCACCTTCCTCCCCCCAGCGCATTCTTTTCCTCTTTCTCCTGGTCGATTCCTAGTCCTCGCCCGGAGTCTTTTACCCCCCAGTTCCACTCTTCTTACGGATTGCTCTGCTTATCCGTATCTCTTCCCCTTTCCCGACCGTCCCGTCATTTGTTTATCCGACCGTCACCATGGGTCAGCACTCCGCTATTTGGCAAGGTACGACAAGAACACATGCTCCTTCAACATTCCATTCTCTTCTATCTAGCATTTTCTTTTGGGTATTCCTAGGCTGACTCTTGCTCTTCTTCCTGCCTAGGATATGTCGATTCCAGGTACCGTATAACCTAACCATATTTACCCCGCTTCAGCAACTGCCGCCCCTCCAAGTTGGTATCGGAATTCTGACGCGAAGCCATTCAGCTTGATGGGATCTGGCCAATTTGACAAGGCCGGTATCCTGAGCCACGACATCTCCGGCGTTGAGGCCTCCTCTCCCGGCTTCACGGTATGACACGCTCTCCAGCAACCGCCGGTCTGATCGGCGTGACCTTACGGCCAAGCAAGCGCCGACCAGCACGAATCCAGCGTTAACGACCACCATAGATCTCCCCCCAAGAACTTCAGGGCCTTGCCGCTGCCTTCAAGGACCCCAACGCTGCCTGGGGTAACGGTATCACCGTTGGCGGAGAGAAGTTCGTCACCATCAAGGCTGACGACCGCAGTCTGTACGGCAAGAAGGTACTATCGCACCCACCCATCCCCTATTACCTATCAAAATATTTAACATGTGCTGATATTTGGGAACAAACAGGGTAAGGAGGGTATCGTTGTCGTCAAGGCCGTCTCCTGCGTCATGGTCGCCCACCACGCGGAGAACGTCCAGACCCCGAATGCCGCTACCGTGGTCGAGAACCTCGTTGACTACATCAACAACCCCCGGTGAATGGGTCTAAAAGCAGAATGAAATTGTATTTTGTCTCGCCATGAGGAAGGGACACTCGGTAATACTGGTTATTTAAATGTAAATCATCATGGTGGTCTCTTTTCTCGATTGTCTTTTGCTCTCCGGTATTCTTTGCATCAATTGGCATTCATTATACCACGTAGATCCATACCTGTACATTATATGCTTACAAGTAAAGCCATTGCAGCGAACTCTGGGATGGGAAGTCCAGACCGACTGATTTCACATGCTCATGAAACAAAGTTTACAGCCCAAAGCTATCTAGCGTCCATCTGTCCCGCATTCCGAATGATATCACCGGCCACTCTGTTATTTTTGACAGCTCCGATCTATGCAGATGCACAGTAAGGTAATCTTGAAATTAGCTCTTATTGTCACATTACTACCAACCAACATACGTCCCAAACTACCGAACTTCGCAAGGACTGTCTCCCCAGGTACTCTCCTCGTCGGAAAGATATATTAACAATTAAAAGTCTCTAGTACATAATAATACCCATAATATAAAAGCGAACAACACCACCATCCCGCTCATCCAGACAGTAGCTGTAGACATGGGCCTAGACCAACAAACGATAGTAGTCCACACCACACCATACCATCCCATACCCATCCCATCATGCAAATATTCGTAACAAGAAAAAAAGAAGACCCTAGTGCCACATAACTATTCATACACATGAACATGACAAGATCCTCCATCATCGTCATCGTTATCAAAGTCGTTCCCTTCACTCACTCACCCATCCACGCCTATACCCTCAACGGAGAATCGAACTGTGAGTCCCCTGCCTATACAGGCAACTCCGCATTCCTTCTTCCACCCGCCAGCGTCTCCAGAACCTTTTGAATAAACGGTCCCACGACGGGGATATTCCCCGCGAACTGGCCAATTGTGATCAGGAAGTCGCCGAAGAGGATGAAGAGACCGTATAACTCGATTATGAACCCGGTTAGCGGCCAGCGGAGGAGAATGAGTAGAATTCCAGCGGCGAAGGCAGCGGTGCCCTTGAGCTTTTGGCGACGGGAGAAGAAGGCGAAGGTCTTTTCGAGGCCGATTATTAGGGTGAGGCCGATGAGGAAGAGGATCTGCGGTGGAGTGGGTTAGTTGGGGGTTCCACATATCGCATTGGAGTAGGGTAGTTTAGGATGGCGTACGTTTCCCATTGCCAGGCTAGATTGTTAGTTTTGTTAGTTATATTATGTATTTGGATTATTATTTGGATTATAGAGTTGGGTTGGATATGGACGTACAGTGAGCGATCAAAGAACATTAGGACTCCGCCGAAGAGGAACAAGCCTCCTGTTGGGGGACATCATTAGTATGTGTATGAAGCGGTCGGTTGTGGGTCGTTGCAAGCCTGTTATATAGACATACCGGCTGAGCAGAAGATGACTCCGATCTCTGTTGTAGGAAGAACGTGCGTTAGCCAATGACCCGGATATGCTTTCGTGCGAAGTGTGCAAAGTAGGCGTTTCTTACTCTGATTATCGGACAACCACATTGTAGGCATTTTGCTGTTTTTTGAAACTATGTAAAAGTGCGCAGTAATATAAGGATCGAAAATAATACGTCGAGGACTGAAACTAGAGCAGCTCGAGGTTGATTGTAGCGCTCAAGGATGCGATGCGTTCGTCACTCGGGAATTCGGAGGCTTGCGGAGATCGCGTGCACGGGGCAGTATATATGGTGGAAGGGACGATGAGGCGGTAAACCCACGAATGGCTAGAAAATGAAAAGGATGAAGATATCGCACGCCTATATATAGGCTGTCGTCCTGGAGGATTCACGAAGCTTTGAAGTACAGGCGCCAGCAATGCAAGTAAACACGGAACAACTGCGGCTGCTGCGCAAAATTCCCAATTCTGCCACGTCCCTTTCTTGGCTAGGTTTGTGCTATTCCGCGTTGGGATGGCGGTCGGGCGATCAACAACATTCGCACAGCCGCCATTTTCGGCTCTGCTAACTCAACTTCTCAACCGATTCTACCTCCTGATGTTTACCATCGGGGGAGAACGATGCGTGTCGACAACATTCTTCAGATTGCATGCCATTGACTATGGTCTTTGATGATGGAACATCTAGTCAAGCCTCTCGTGTGCAATACTTCTACGACATGATTAATGCATCAATCCAGGAGACACGCATCGCTTCTACAAAAGGAGTGCATACAACGGTATGAGGTATCAAGATGGCTTCAATTAGCCACTCTGTTACTGCAAGTATCCTGCCGGTTTATGCCTAGCGAGCCCTTAGGCTAAACTCTCATTTCACGCCGCGGCAACAGCATCTTCGGATGCTGTAACTGATGCTCGGTTCCTGGAGCTTCGGTACTAGTCGAGTGCAACTTGCACAAGGCGAAGATAAACTTTTATAAGGTCACGAATAAGCCGGAGCGCTTTCTTTGAACCTGTCTCGAGAGGGGCATGGTGGGTGGAAAGGGCTTGACTGTGTTGGCCGTACATAAATCGCGTATTAGATTAGGCTGCTATCTGGCAGGACCTTCGTTAGAATTCGAATGCATTATCTCTATAGAAATTCAGCGCCTTACCCTGATATCTTACAAATAAAACAAACATTTCCGTAGCAAACTCATCGCATCATTTAAGAACAACATGGGCAGCCCTTAGTTCCAAATAGCTCTCCGGCACTCCCTGACCAAGTGTCCTGATCACACCAAAGATCTCCTTATCGTGGTACCTCAGTCTGGTCTTGGGATCTGTGTATGGCGCAGGTAGGCCTGTTATATCGCAGTAGCGGGTTTGCTGCGACGGGTGCAACGAGGGCGCGGATTCGATATTCGTGTACGTTACGGCAGGTCCAGATGTAAATGCAGCTCGTGCGTTCTTTTCCAACACCAGTGTGGAGAGGTTCTGCGCAGCCTGCGCGATGTTCGTTCGGGGTGTGCCATCGGCAGGGGTTTGGCTGCCGTCGGTGCTGGCGGACGTAGCTGCGAGCGGGGTGGTTGCGCCAGAATTGGACTGTGTCGCCATGACGGAAGCCTCCTTCCTAGAGCTCTCAGAAATAAGCTGCTTCACGTTCTTGTTGCGTCGCTGCGATGGCTTCCAATTCGGATTGCGGAACGGACGGGGAACTGCCGCAATGTCAAGGCGATCGAGAAGCGCTTGGTGATTCTCCTGTTCGGCGGGAGTCAGAGGAGCCATGGCGATGATGGGGCGTTGAGATGTGAGAGAGCTTTGGATGAAAGGATGAGGCCGGAGTATTGATCGTTGTGGAGGGTTGATTGCTGAAGCCGAACTGGGGAGTCTGGCGGTGCTAGGTCGTCCTCGTCTAGGCCTTGCTCAAGTTGTGAAGGAAGAATGCACGATGCGCACCAATGTCACCAACTGTGATGATCAGATGGCGCAGTAATAAATACTGCTCTTCCAGAGATAGAATGAAAGAAGTAGTGAAGTTACAGAAGTAGTGAAGTTACAGAATAAGCCAAACTAACATCTGGATAGTGAACCTTCCAACCTACTTCCCATTCCACCAGCTCGGCGTCAGTCACGTGGAAGCGTATCTTGGGTTGCCGTGAATCCAAAGAAGCAACAAACAAACAACAGCATCAATCAAGTCCATCCACGAACTACACTAGATCGCAAAGATGGTAAGCAGTGCAGCGCACTGGATGAGTTATTCGTGACAAGACCATACTAATAGCATATATAGGAGAGTCCACATGAGCACCAGCAGGCCCTGCTGCTATCCCGCATTATCGGCAACATCGTATGTCACCCAGAGGGCATCCTAGGTTGTAATGGCTGATCGGCTTTAGGAAAAATTGAATGAGTCAATCATGGTTATGAACAGAAGCCTCCAGGTAAGCACATTTGCTCGCTTTTCTTCATGATAGAGTACTGATGGGCTACATTAGGAGGTCAATATCCAGAACATGAACGTCGAACTCGTCGCACAGATGTTCAAGAACTACCAGTCTAACGTTCTATTCCATCTAGAAGGTAATTTCCCTTAGGATGCTTGGTTGGACTTGGCTGATCAGCATTAGCGACGGAGAATTTGAAAGATCCATCATCCTCGTCGTCCAGTTCTTGATACCCAACAGTGTTTCCCAGTTATTTTACCTAGTTATTTGATCATGAAGACATGATACACACGTGAAAATATCTAATATTCACTTATCTTATGTATTTTAAAATGGATAGTAGACCGAGTAGAGACAGCCAGCAGTGTGACTTTTGGGTTCCTTCAAGAGCATAGTTACTCGCATAGAGTGACCGGCTTGGCGGCATATGAGCGCCGCTGGCGGTGGCCGGAGAGGCCTCCACGGCCCCGACCAAAGCTGGGGAACTTTCAAGCTCCAGTTTCCTTTCCTTCCTCATCACCAACACCACCGCAACCTGCGTCATCCTATCTCTGACAGCCTTATCGGCGCGCATCTATCTTCTGCTAGCGGGTATCTGGCGTATTAGCCCCTGCGACACTCACTGCAATGCAGTGAGCGGTGTTTACCTGGAAGCTTCCAAGTTGCTGCTAAGAGCGCCTGCATCCAACCACCATGGCTATCACCTCGATCCAGCCGGTTCTACCGACCCGGTTTACGATCAATTCCACCGAGAAAGGTGCCACGAAGCCTCCTCCGGAACCTTACAATGTACAGGACCATCCTTTCAAGGGCTACCACCCCCCTCAACCCGAAGGCTACGAAAAGAGCAAGAGTACTAGCGCCATAGTTATTGATAATGGTGAGTGATGGCCTAGGCTTGAGACCGCATCGTGTACAGTCTGCTGACTTTTGCGATCTACTTGAAGGTTCAAACTTGGTCAAAGCCGGTTGGTCGTTCGACAAATCCCCACGTTTCGTGCTTCCTCCTGTGATGAGCCGGTATCGCGACCGGAAGCTCAACAAAGCCTGCCAATTCATCGGATACGATTCTTATGTCGATGCGACTACGCGCGGTCAGCTGCGCTATGCCTTCGACCCTGGCACGAGTGTTGTGGGTAACTGGGACGTCATGGAGGGAGTGTTGGACTATCTGTTCATCAAGCTGGGAGTCGATGGTGCCAATGGGGGGGTTGACAGGCCGATTGTCATGACCGAGCCGATCGCAAACCTCGCCTATCCCAGAAGGAGTAAGTGGTATCGCTTGCGGCTATAATGATGGTATTGCTGACGCTCTGCTAGTGATGAACGAAATCCTATTCGAGTGCTATTCCGCGCCATCGGTCGCTTACGGAATCGACTCCCTATTCTCCTACCGGTACAATCGCGGAAAGGATGGACTCATCATCTCGTCTTCGCACACCTCGACCCATGTGATCCCGGTGCTAAATAACAAGGCTCTGCTCTCCAACTGCTCGCGACTGAATTGGGGTGGACTGCACGCATCGGAATATCTGCTAAAACTCATGCGCCTAAAGTACCCGACCTTCCCCGCAAGGATGACGGAGAGCCAGATGGAAGATATTGTGCACAAGCATTGTTACGTTTCCAAGGACTACGACCAAGAGCTGAGCCACTACCTAGACTGGACAGGGCTGGAGGAGCGGGACTGTATCGTCCAGTACCCTTACACCGAGCACGTTGTGCCCGAAAAGACCGAGGAAGAACTCGCCCGGATTGCCGAGAGGAAGAAGGAAAGTGGGCGTCGGTTGCAGGAGCAGGCCGCTAAGATGCGGCTGGAAAAGTTGATGAAGAAGGAGCAGGAATTGGAGTACTACAAGGACCTACAGCACGGACTTGCCTCGGAGACGAAGAAGGAAGCGAGGCGCATTCTCGAAGCGGAGGACCTGAAGGATGAAGCCCATCTAGATCGATTGATTCGGGATCTTGAGCGGTCCATCAAACGATCCCGAAACCGGGACCTGGGGATCGAAGAAACCGAAGAGCCCCAGGAAGAGATGTCTTTCCCGTTATTGGACGTCCCGGATGAAGAATTAGATGAAGCTGGTCTGAAGGAAAAGCGCCATCAACGACTAATGAAATCCAACGTTGAAGCTCGACAACGCGCTAAGGCAGAGAAAGAGCGAGAGAAGGCTCGTCGGGAGGAGGAAGAACGGCTCGACCGCGAGAAGCGCGAGAATGATTTCGAAAACTGGCTAGCTGAACGGAGAGCAAACCGTCAGGTATGGTTATTCGCTACACTATTTATGGCATATCTAACGTTTCTACACAACAGAACATTATGCAAAAGATCAAGGAACGTGACAGGATGAAGGCGGATCTGGGTAACCGCAAGTCATTAGCCAGTCAGATGCGCATGAAGACCCTCGCCAACCTCGCTGCGGATGGTCCCAAGAAGCGGAGGCGCGGCGGGGACGATGACACCTTCGGTGCCAACGACGAAGATTGGGGTGTCTATCGAACGGTGGCTACAGGCGAACAGAGTGATGAAGAGGAAGAGGAAGACCTTGGAGGCATGCTTGATGCCGTTGAGAAGGAACTACTCGAGTACGATCCCGAATTCACAGAGAACCACACGCTCGCAGCGCAATCCGACTGGACGAAGAGCTTGGTACATGTCTTCCTCCGGGGTCCCTGGCCGTTTGATCCTGAGAGCCAACGCGAGGCTCACCAACTGCATCTGAACGTGGAGCGAATCCGCGTTCCCGAGGTGGTTTTCAAGCCGTCAATTGCGGGCATTGACCAGGCCGGCTTGTTGGAGATCGCGGCCGATATTGTGAACCAGCGATTCCCGAACCCTGAGGAGCAATCAAAACTGCTGCGGGATGTTTTCCTCACGGGTGGCAACACCATGTTCCAGAACTTCGACGAACGTCTCCGCAACGACTTCCGCGCGTACCTTCCCGTGGACGCCCAACTCAACGTCCGGCGTGCGAATGACCCGGTCTTGGACGCATGGAAGGGCGCTGCACAATGGGCTTCAGGGTCTGAACTGGCGAAGTCCTCGATCACCCGGCAGGAATACTTGGAGAAGGGCAGCGAATATCTCAAGGTAAGCACGGGAAAGATTTCTCGACGTGACACAAGCAACATTGGCTAACAACCTCTAAATAGGAACATGATATGGGCAATGCCACCACATGGTAGACGCCAGAGCCTGTAATACGTTTTGCCTGTCCAACATCTATACACCGAGAGAGATCTTGGCATGATGCGGTTAGGGGTATACAGAGTCGGGGCTGAGGACGCCTTTGGTAGGTTGTGGTCCAGCGATGCGACTAACCCAAGCTGCGCCACTAAACTACCAAGGGCGTCAATGCTGGTAGTAGTGCGTATCCAGGGCGCGAAGGAACAGGGAGTTGGGCGTACGCGTGCTAAGTCGGATGAGAAATTTAATTTCGACGATGGATGATTTGATATATTAAGATGGCATAGTCATTTCGTTTCTTCATTCTGCTTATTTTGTATGCTACCTATTCTTCTTTTTGCTCCCTTTGTCTTCTCCCAACGGTTGTATAGTAAGTAGACTCATTCGAAACAGGATCCTGGCGCCTGCAGATCTGGCTATAGCCCTTTCCATCATCACTCACTTGAACACGCACAATGAGATAGGGTAAAGTACGTACTGGGGTACATTGAGAAAGCTTTCTCTGTTTTGGCGATGCGGATGCCAACGCTTTAGTGAGGGCAGCACGTAAACATATGCTCCATGTGCATCTCAAAACAACACTAATCGCTCAGTAAGCACCCACCCCAAATTCCGCCCCGCCTTCTAGATATAATATTATGAAAAGCTATCGTAAATATCGCGGACAGTACTTAGCAGCTGCTGATTGCTCCCCGCCAGCCCCTCACCCACACCGGCCATGGCGTGTTTGCTTATTAGCTCCTTGGATTACAGCATCGACCACAGTCCTGTTACACTACATACACTAGATGCATGCTACAACGCCACTCGTCAACGTTTTCAGCTGGCCATGGCAATTGACCTTACTGATCAGCGAGCGGGGTACTAGGTGGTTGTTTCCTTGATGGAATGGATTCCATTCAGCGCGTAAGCACACTTGCCCGGCCCCTTCAGAATTAACTGTAAGGGGAAGGGTCAGACTCAGCTGCTTGTCTAATCAATGGGGCAATAAGTGCGTTGATGATGAAAGCCTTGTGAGGACGCTTTCTAGATAAACTGGCAAACCGTGCTCTGCTCTACCTACACAGAATGTGTGTGTGGATGTGGTGAGCCCCATTGCAACCCTATCCGCCAGCTGATATCAGCAACGCAAGGCAAGCGTTATACAGGCCGATCTTAAGTAATTGTAGCCCACAGCAAACCCTGCCGACTGTGCATAGTGTGATATGACCCGGTCTGTTGTTTGTGGTGGGGGTGTCACCCATCCATCATAGATCATCCTGGATGCATTATTACATTCGTCGTAATGCATTTACCTGAATGTGTCTATCATATGTATTGCATCTTGTTTTGCTTTGCTTCGATCGTCATATAAGAAGGCAAATAGCGAGTATTTCCATGATAAACAAAGCCTCAACAACAATACAACTTCATCACCATCATATGCGAATTGCTCTGCTTAAAACTCAACAAGCCTTCACCATGAAGATTAGCCTCATCTGGTCCTTGAGCTTGTTCTTGACTGCGCATGCTGCAGTTATTCCACGTAAGTCAGATTCTCTAGTAGGGAACATGATGCAGATTATAACAAGGAGTAGGAGCTGCCGAGTCCGCGACGTCCATCGAAGCAGGTGTCCGTGCTGCTGAATTCGGAGCTGGTGGTATTCATGAAAGAGCTGCTTTGTCACATGGAGAGGGTGATTCTAAGGTGGATAATAAGGAGGACAATACTGTTGTTGGGGAAGGGTGGTAGATGATTACCAGGGTTGTCTTCTTAATGTTATATGGGGAGTGTGGTGGAGATGTCGTGTGTCTTGGGTAAAGGATAGCGCTAGTTACGGGTGAGCAACTTTTAGTTGATAATTGACCTTATGAAGGGAAGGTATCTATCTCCATTCATCTCTCTTCCATTCTTTTATTCCATATTAGATCTCCCCATTACATACTCAACCTAATCCCATCCCCAATCTCCATTTCACCGTCTTCACACCTCGTAAAATGATCAACTAGTCGAATGGGCTGCTCACTATCCTTATAACAAGCCGTTCTCTGACGAATCCACTCCTTCCGACTCTTCCAATCGAGACACTCCCGTGCCTGTCCATCACCAGTTTGATTCCGTCCCCATGTGTAGAGAAGTGTATCTCCGGATGTCCCACATACTATATACTGCAATAGGCTGTCGAAGCAGTGCCAAGAATGTTGGAGAGGAAGTTTGGGTGATTCTCCAGATCTGATCTCTAGGAGAGTGCGGCGAATTATCGTAAGGCAATGAATTTGGTGGTACCTATCAAATCCGCGTTCATGATTAGTTAAAAATTCCTAAAGATCACGAAAATATCATTCGTGAATCTGAAGGGATAGGAAAAGCAGTAGTTGGAGGGGCAGGCTAGTTGGTCTCACGCATCAAGAATATACACCCCTTTGGAAGAATCTGATGGAAGACTCATGCTCGATGGGAGGTGATTCTCCGCAGCCCATCCGTGATCAACCGCGACGAAGCCGTACGCTGGGACGATTTCCTCCCAGGCCTTATTCACGGCGTCGAAATCTTCGGGCTTCGAAGAGCTGTAAATACCTGTAGACCATTGGAATTGAATCCAGCGATTGCCGTGGGAAGCCGTCTCTTTTGATTTTATGTTTGATTAGAGACCATTCCCAGATCAAACAAAGGTCGGAGTGTCAATAATAGTACTACTGACCGTATTCTGGATTAGGCTGGGGAGGTTTAGCATCCAGCGGGAACAAGATACGGTCTACTAAGAGCCCTGTGCAAAGGATACTAAGACAGAATATCAAGACATCTCGCCAGATATGGCGAAGGGAGAGAATGTATGCATAAAGGCGCTCGGGTAGAGAGGGAGGATTATTGGGTCCGGATGGATCAAGCGAGACATATTCAGCTTTTGAAAGTCGGAATTTAGCAGGCATGTTCGCTTCAAATCAAGGCGTAGTGCACTTTGGAGTGTGTCTATAGCTGAAGCATTGGTGTGACATATCGTTACTTTTAAATACTGTATTGTGTTTGCAGGTAATGTGAGTTTCCGTGCTTGACAGACTATCTCAGCCTCAGCCTTGTTCCGGAATTCCCTGGCTGCAACCGTGTAACCCGAAGGACTGGTCATACGGAAAGGCGCTGTCTTACGGTGAGACTATTTATGCAAGCAGTTCAGGGATATTTCAAGTCCAGAGGCTGATCCCATAGACGTTTATTGGCCCGTAACCCAGGATTGGTTAGGTACTGAGTACTAGCGATCAAATTGACAAGGGTTGTGCTACCTTCTACCTCCTAGCCAAGTCACCGTACATTAGCTCGAGTCTAGCCTTATTAGTTCTATCTCCCTCGTGACCTGAATTCTTTGCTCTGTGTTTGACGGATGTTGGGCCATCGAAGCATTGTGCCCAACAGCAGGAGATGTTGTTGGCCCGGGGTGCCATGGTCTAACAAGGTTCACATTAGACGAGTTTGAATTTGTCAAGCCGTTTAGGCTGTTGTTTCGTAAAGCGCTCGATGTTGTCGACGTGGGATTTCGGTATAGGTATCTTTTGAAACTGTTGATTAGAGAATTCAACTCGCGTTTTTTATACATTGGCCGCAGAGAAGGGAGGCAGATAACGATGACACCGAGACCGCATTCTATCATGGTCCAGAACAAGAGGTATGTGACGAGTGCTGTTCTGTTAGCTTTGGTCATTGTATTGTGCCTGGTTTCGTACTTTCTCCATCTGATTGAGCAAAGGGGTTGATAAGATGAGCGATGTAGATAGCCATCCGTGTCGCAGAAGCTGCGATTGCCCTTTGTGCGTGTCAGGCATACCCTATGGCTCTGCAGGAAGGGTACTAACAAGAGACCAACGAGAAAGACTAGCCCAAGTGCCATCTTTTGGCGAACGGAGATGTTCAACAACCATATCTGAGGCGGGGTGAGCTCGATAGTCTGTGGTCCCTTGCATGATTTACTTACCCGTGGCAGTGGTAGCATCCATATAATCACGTCCATGATAAAATCAGAAATTGCATATCCCTCGACGATCGGGACCTGTAGACTGCATTCGGTTGTAACAACTGCAATAGTCCCCCAGGCGTTCACGGGATGGGCACCGCAGATAAAGATTGTACCAACTTCAAAGGCTACAGTCCACACCGAGACTAGCACAATCATGCACATGGTCACAGAGTGGAAGGCAGTCCGAATGGTCCGTCTACTGCAGAAAATGCTGCGGTAGAAGTAGAGAATGCTGAGTTTCGTAAAACCAAATGCCCAGACAGTCACTATGTCAGCGACATATTGGATCTGTAATGATTTAGTATTTGAATCCGTATTAAGCAGAACAATTTGAACCTGTAAGAGTCTGATCTGTTGATCAGAGTTTGAGAAAACGTAAGCATCTGGGCGTGGGTCATCGGGTTGGGGAAGAAGGCCCCCTAAGGATCCTGTTGTTGTTCCCCAGAGCAGCAGGGCGGCAAGAACATATTCCAGTCCCTAAATGAGTTCGTATTGTTGGCTTTCAAATGCTTGGGCCGATGTTATTTACCAGTGCGGGCAGCGTCAACCAGTCGTCAATCCACAACACAGATTTTGTCTTTCTTCTGGTATGGAAGCGAAGGATCACTGTTAAAGTACCCAAGACAGGGAAGAGGATAGAGATCGTAATGATTGCAGCGGGAGTTGCGTATGTTCGTGACATGATGATAATGTCGGTCTTGGAATCCCATCGACAATGAGAGAGGAATCATTATGCGATGAGGAGTGGACTGACACAACAATAAAAACCATGGCGCCGATACTCCCCTCGCGTCGTTGCTTGAGGTGTGTGTGTGTGTGTATACCTTGTGGCCCTTCAGCTGGAGGCGGCTACGGGCATGCTGACTAGACTAGGTTACACTCCGGGATGATCCTGGCCAGGTCAGGCTCTCCCACCAAACGAGTCTATTTTCAGAACCCATTTCTCAAGTGGCCTCTGTTTGTTTCTTCTCTTGCCTCTTGCTTGACATACTGTCAGCCTTCCTCCATCTCTCTTTCACTGAGTACCTTGAGCCTGATTCTTAATTATGTCTTTGCTCTGGAATGTGGGGGTTGCTGCCTTGCTGGCTGTACTTTGGACGGCCAGTGAAGCTGTCCGTCGCCTTTATTTCCACCCTCTGGCCCATATTCCCGGACCTCGTCTTGCAGCTCTGACATGGTGGTATGAATTCTATTTTGACGTTATTAGGCCCGGTCAATACGTATTCAAGATACAGGAGCTTCACATAAGATATGGTATGTCATGCTCTGCTTCATGTGCGATCCCCGCTGACGATTGTAGGCCCAATCATCCGTATTACCCCAGATGAGGTTCATGTCAATGACGTCGGATTTTTGGACACTATTTACGCCCCTTCGATGATCAGAAGGGACAAGTATGGTTATCAGCTGAGGAGCCTTCGCGTCCCAGGGGGACTGGGCACAACCACCGACCATGACCTGCATAAAGTCCGGCGAGAGTCACTTACACCCTTCTTCAGCAAGAAGAACATTCAGTACATGGAGGGGTTGATCACAGACAAGGTCGACCAGTTGAAGCAGTTGATATCCACCCATGTAGCCAGAGACACACCAGTCAACTTGTCAGATGTCTTTTTTGCATTCTCAAATGAGTAGGTTGGCACATCTTTTGCTTGCTATGGAGGCTGATTGCCCAGTGTTGTCAACAACTTCCTCTTTGCGCACCGAACAGATGTACTTGCAAGCGAACCGAAAGCCGCCACCCTCCGCCAAAACAGCAAAGAGCTCTTGATGGGGATCAATATCAACAAGCACTTTCCGCAAATCCCCGATTTCCTGGAGTCGCTCCCAATGTCCATAAGCCGCCCAGTGATGCCTCCAGGCCTTATTGATTTGCTTACCCTATTTGACGTGAGACTCTGCGCCGAACAAATGAACCAAGTCTAACGATTTAATGCAGCGGGTTCGTGAGGAGATTTTCATGATTAAGAAGGACAAAGAATCATCAGTGGCTCACAAGAAGAACATTGGACCGACAGGCAAAGAGTCAGTATTTGATTCATTAGTGGACAACCCAAACCTGCCAGCCTCAGAGAAAACGCTCCTGCGGTTACAACAAGAAGGGGCCCTTCTAGTTCTAGCGGGAACCGAATCACCAGCTCAGACTCTCAACATCATATTCTATCATCTCCTTGCCAACCCCGCACTTCTCGAGAAGCTTCGCAGGGAGCTCCGTGCCGTCCCTGTACCTTCTTCATGGACCCAACTCGAGCAACTTCCGTATCTATCCGCAGTAATCGAGGAAGGCAATCGGCTTTCTTTCGGCGTCACGGCTCGGTCCGCACGTATCGCTCATGAGCCGCTGACCTATACGCCTTCCGCGTACGTCTCCTCGACCTGTCCGCCCAGCACCAGAAGCAAGTCGTACATAATCCCAGCAGGCACTCCGGTGTGCACCACGACTCTGAGTGCGCACACTGCGGACACCGTCTTTCCGGATCCTTTCGTCTTTGATCCGGAACGTTGGCTCGGCGATGCTGGGAAGGAGCGACGGAGGTTTCAAATGGCGTTCAATAAGGGAGGGCGAAGGTGCCTTGGGATTGAACTCGCGCGTGCGGAGCTGTATCATGTGGTCGCGGCCCTGGTTCGAGAGTTCGACATGGCCCTATTTGAAACAGATGCCGACGATGTGGCATTTATGTATGATTACCAGGTTGCCATGCCGAAGATGGGTTCTAAAGGGGTGAGAATTATGGCGAAATTGGCTCATTGAGAGTATCCATAGACCCGACTGCTACCAGATTTTTGGGTGACTAGGATGGGTAGTATATTGTGGATGGGACTGGTCAGAAACCATGGATCTAGTAGAGGATTAACCCTACACTATCCTGGTGGACTCAATTTCGGGTTGTGCCGCCAGTTCATTGCTATCAGGTCACTTAAAACCACCAATGTCTAGCGCTTGGGCGATGCATCATTTAATTTCCAGCCTTACTAATGCCAAGTCGCACGGTGTATGCGCCGGCCTCTATCAACTGTGGTTTGGTCAGTGATTTGATACACTAATGCATAACTAGCTCTGTATGTCTCACTTAGTACTCTCTCCGCGGAAATTTTGTGGGTGGTGGGTCAGAAACCGACGAACAATCAGTAGAGCTGCGTGCTAGGCGCTTATGTGCTGGGTGGACAAGAGCCCTGTGATTACTAGTTGGAGGGGTTGGACCCTTCTTGCCCCGTACACTTGAGTTCGTAGGTCAGCTGTAGGGGTCTGTAGATAATTGTGGGTACTGGTAGTCTTCTCAGCCTTGTTGGCCGTAACTTGGTCCCTTAGGGTACGGAGTACATCATTCAAACATTACTACGCTAATTCGCACGAGGATATTGTCTACTACTAAATGCTGCTACCTGCGCTGTCTGCCTTAATGTATTATAGCTGCCTTTTGATTACTCTAGCAAATGCAACTGCCAGCGTTCCAATATTATAGCCTCGTTCCGAGCTCCTCTCCCCCTTCCCCCCTCCTCCCCTAATTACCACCACCAGACAATGCTCCCTATCCCTCCGACAAGAGTCGCCAAACAATTCTTCACACATCTCCCGTATTATCTCCAACTACGCGCATCGAAGATCCTCATTTCTAGCTTGTTCGTCTGGCTTTTAATATTCTACTATTGCCGAGTCACCCTCTGGCATGATCCACATTCTGCCTATTTCCAAGATCGCCATGTCTACGAGCTGGATTACAGTCTCCACCGCGAACGTGAGGCCTGGCATTTTATCTCACAGCATAATTCGGGCATAGATCCACCAGATTATGTGAAGAGTGGAAGCACACCATCTGTTTGTATAGCCATGGTCACTGTTCGACGAGACTCGGACCACTATTTTGAGGCATCTGTTGGCTCGCTGTTGGAGAGCCTGGATGAAAGGGAGCGGCAAGCGTTGTATCTTAGTATTCTTTTTACAGATACAGATCCGAGAGTACATCCCAGTTGGGATCAGAAATGGGTGGGCAGGCTCGTGGACTCAGCGGATACTTATAATGTGACAGAAGGACAACTTCAGCATTTGCAGGATCTGGAGAAAGCAAAGAATTTCTATGAGAAAGGAGTCTTGTGAGTCTATTTTTCCCAAGAACTTGATTCATTACCATCTGCTTCCAGGATTGAGCCAGCTAATAGCCTGCAGCGATTATATATACGCCCTACGAGCCTGTCAGGAAGTAAACGCCCCCTACACCATCATTTTCGAAGACGATATCATCCTTGCCACAGGGTGGTTCTCGAAGACTCTGAAGGCGCTCTCCGATATTTCACAACGGAATCAACAGCCAAGGAATCCCTGGATCTACCTCCGTCTCTTCTACACCGAGACCTCATTGGGCTGGAGCGATTCCGACATGGCATACAGAAACATGCCCTTGATATTTGGCCTTCTCATGCTGTCTACATTCTCATCCTTATCAATGCTTCGGCACACTCGGTTCCAATGGCTGCACCTTGACACCCTGAGCATCGTGGTTATCTCTATGATATGCGTTCCAGCCTTCACCGCACTCGTATACATGGCCGGAAAATACAACGTAATGCCGCTCCATGGTGTTGTCGAGATGAACCAGTATGGATGTTGCACCCAGGGCTTGGTGTTTCCGAGGGAAAATGTGGACGGTCTGATTGAGTTCTTGAGCGCAAGAGGACATGGTCAGACGGACTCTATGATAGAGGAATACGCTGATCAGAACCAGTTGACTCGATATGCTCTGGCACCGCCCCAGCTGCAGCATGTGGGGTTGAAGTCGAGCCGGAACAATCTTGACATCAATACTCAGAGTACGTGGGCATTTTGGTTCGAGACCAATGATCCGGCCAAATTGAGAAGAGAACACGCTACGCTTCTGGAAGATTATGATGTGGAGAGGATGCTGAACGTATAGACTTATCAAAATATAATTCCCGATCTGAAAAGAGTTAAAGGCGAATTGTTAATTCCACCAGATCACTGGAAAGCGATGGAAGTGCCTATGATTGGGATAATTTCGCCCGATGCCCAAGTTTAGAATAGACATCAATGTATAATGTGGTCTATTTAGATTGTATATAGTAGATTTAGAGTTGGTATACCGACACACAGGCAATGGCAATTCTCGGGTTGATGTAACCGTCCACATGAATTGTTAGGCCCGAGCATGTGGTTGTGAAACACAAACAATATGCATGATATAGTAGGGGCATAGTGAGGTTCAACCAGGCTATTTTAGCCTGCCTATCGGAGCATAACGTGTCAACCATAATTCTAATTTGACCTCCCATCCTCTATACAACATCATAACTACCGGTGGTAAATTAATCCTATTTAGGAAAGTTTACAATACAGGCTAGTCGCGAAGGGTTTACCCAGACCGCCTGTCTGATTCAGTATACCACGAATTGCTCCTTTCGGTTAGGATCATCACCACTGTAGGCAGGAAGTGCAGGAAAACAGCATATCAAATGTCAAATCAAAAGCGGGATGCAGCACTGATACTTGGCTGACCGCTACCAGTCGCCAATGCTTCTGTCCTTGTGGGTCGGCCTATAATAAACGCCAGTTAAAGAGTGTGTTCTTGGTTCATGAGGCGGGGAAAGCGTCCGTGATCACATGTAGCAGGTACCTATTAAATACAAAGTAACGTCATTAACCTTCATTTCCTTCACTGCTTCGTTGTATCTCCTCCTCTAAAAGCACAACATGTCAACAACAACAATTGAGCTAGCTCCACAAGGGCTACAGGAGTCTCAGAGCCCAGTTCAACCATTCGGCCCAAGTACCGAAGAGGCAATCGTACAACAGAAGCAAAAGTGGAATGATCCTCCCATCAATAGATGGCGTCTTTTGGCTACATTTATCAGTTTCACGGTTGTGGGGGCAAATGATGGTGTTTACGGAGTGAGCTCTCTTTCTCATTATCCTTCCGCATCAGTGAAGGATAACAGACTGATCACTTGTTCTGCAGGCGCTCGTCCCATATGTATGCTTTTTATAGGCCTAAGTCGGTTCTTTAAATCAGAGAGATGCTGAAAGTGAAGTAGCTTCGCGAAGACTATAAATTGTCTACCACCGTGGTCTCTTTGATCTTCGTGACTCCGTTTGCCGGGTATACGATAGCCACGCTCATTGTCAACAAGATTCATATGACGCTTGGACAGCGAGGGATTGCGATCATCGGTCCTCTATGTCATATCATTCCATATGTGATAATGGCCATTCATCCGCCTTGGCCGGCAATGCTGGCTGTCTACGTGATTGTCGGTTTGGGCAATGGCCTCATTGACGCGGCATGGAATTCCTGGATCGCTGATATGGCCAATGCGAACGCCATGATGGGGGTCCTTCAGGCATTTTATGGTCTCGGGTATGTGGACATTGTGATGTAAAATTACTACCCCTTGGCGATGCTGAGGACCACTGCAGGGCAACCATAAGTCCACTGGTAGGGACTCAGATGATCAAGTCCGGCCTTCGCTGGAATTATTTCTACTATACACTGCTTGGTGGGTCCGTTCTAGAACTAATGGTGAGCTCTACTCTGTTCTGGAAAGCAAACGCGGTTAGCTACAGGGCCACGAATCACAGAAACTCCGACAGTGGCAACGGGAGCAGGACTACAGAGGCTATTAAAAGTCCTATTACCTGGCTAATAGCAGTCTGGCTGTTTGTGTACATGGGAGTTGAAGGTGCGTCGCTCTGCTAGATGACTGATTTAATCGGCCAATCTGATCATGTAATCTGATCAGTGTCGGTCGGTGGCTGGGTCGTGGACTTCATGGTTCAAGTTCGTCATGGCGAGCCCTACCAATCTGGCCTGATTCCCACCGGCTTTTGGGCTGGTGTCACCGTGGGTCGTCTAGTACTCGGTTTTGTGAATGACTGGTTGGGTATGCTTCCCTTTCCTCCACCAAAGCCTGACTACATGAATACTGAATGATAATCAAGGAGAACGAATTGCTATCAGCATTTATCTTGCGATCTCAATCGCCCTAGAGCTTATCTTTTGGCTGGTGCCACAGTTTGTCGTATCTGCAGTGGCGGTCTCGCTGCTTGGCTTCTTCACTGGCCCTCTATTTCCCGCAGCCATTGTTGTGGCGGCTAAGCTGCTCCCCAAGCACCTACATACCCCCGGCATTGGACTTGCATCGGCTTTGGCTGGTGGAGGTGGAGCAATGTACGTTTATCTCCCTTACTTCACAAAACTTTCCGACCTATTGTTGCTTAAACTACTTGACTAATATTCCGCTCGACCGTAGACTGCCATTTGTTGCCGGTGCTATATCCGGGGCGCGCGGTGTACAAAGCCTGCAGCCGTTCGTTCTCGCGTTGTTGGTTGCATTGATCGCCATATGGGTGCTGCTCCCACGGAACAAGCATCATGCTCACGGCGTCTGAAGCAATGATATAAATGTGTGGTTAGATAGATAGCAGTGCTTGAACAAGAGCTTACTTTCACAAAGGGACTGCCGCTATTCCCTTATTCTGCGTCCCGCATCGAAGCCCCTAGTACATAAGGGTCCTTGTTGTCCGTGTTGAGCAAAAATTCAGTGGATCTTTGCGTTTCCAAAATATTATATATACCTTTTTCGTTGCCTAAAGACACCGTTATTCGGCAGAAGGCAGTCGTGAAGCACGATATTATGGACAAGACAGTATATATGACCTAGCTTGTCTCATCCTCTGAAATAACCTCTCAGTAATCCTTGCTCTTGTGCATTATCTAGCAGCCTTATGTTGGGGATCTACTCTTTTGCCTACTGCCGGCCTTAGAGCCATATCTGATCCGGGCGAAGAAGCTTCTCAGCAGTGAACTATCGCAACTGTATCGAATCAGTGCAAACTCCAGAGGGAAGCGTTACTATTGCCCAAAATTATCATAGTCGAGCTGCCAGAATAAAGGGAATGCAGCCAGTCAGCTCTTATACTCCTGTTGCCAAGCGCACGCGCAGCAACGTGATGAGGAACAAGAGACTCCTCTTCATAAAAAATCTGTCTGCAAATTCCACTCCTATGTCTCAAATACCAACTCCAGATGAATCTGATCGCATCATGCATGTTGTCTTATAAGAGTCAGATTAAGGTCCAAGAGGGAGCTCAGATGTCGGGTTGGATTTTGAATGGGATATTACCCTCCTCTACATAAACTGTGGGTCCCTTCCTTATCCCTATACCGAAGCTGAGATCACTAATGCATGGGAAGCTTCATTGTCTAAATAGCCGAACGATCTAATGGGCTCCTGGCTTCATCAAAATGTTATGAAGTCTCGCAGTGATCATTATCTATCCTGGGTTCGATCTGATTTCCGCATCAACAAGACTCTGGATTATGATATTCTAGGAGCTGGGCTTAATTATCACCATAAGCATTTCAGTTTTAAGCAAGCCTCTCAAGCTTTCTCAGTCCTTATGCACTGCTTCGTAATACTGCACTACGCTGTCGAGTATCTAGCATTCCTCCACAATCATCATCTCTATATTTCTTAAGTCAGTTCATTTCCTTGGTTAAAGAATAATAGGAAGCTATATTTGATTCGGATTTCCGCTCCCCGGATAAGGCTGTACAACCAAATGAGATTTAGTAGATATCTTATTAGTTGATATAGTAGCTTGAGTAGGAAAGAGGTTAGATAGTATGTGTCGGTCTGGTCATTTCTGCGCGGCCAGGCCACAGGTCCAGATGAGCTGGAACAAAACAGATTGATTATATTAGCCGCCATCATATGTTTGCTTATAGCTGTAGCGACCACGCAGACCCACGCGTAGTACTCTACAGGAAAGAATCTCATATTAAACCTCTCATGGTGATATTCAGAGGATCACTGTGTCTCCTGTCTTCAAGAAAATCTTTCCGGATTCACAAGTAGTGTTCCAGTCAAATACTTCATGTCTTTGAGCACTATAGTAGCAAACTCAACGAAATTGAACTTCCTTAAACTGAGCGCGGGTTTGAAAGCAACTGGATATCCAAGTTTTGCTATCAGTATGGTTAGTAACTTATTGACTTGTAAGTCACATTACTGCTTTATTTTTGTTGTATTATTAGTATCCTTTATGAAGTCGGAGTTGTTACTATATAGGAGTTCAGTAGTCATCCTTAACATTGATAGTATCGGGTGGAGTGGGAGGAGTGCTATATTTTCTCATGTACTCATGACCACTACGAGTAGCAGCGGCACCCCGTATCGAGCGCCGTAGCGGGCAAGGCACCAAAACCAATCATGCTAGGGATCATCATGATCAGCTCTGCACCCTTGATCGCACCCTTGATTGCACCCTTGTCAGTTTTGTCAGAAGTTAATCAGCATCCTGCCGATGTCGTGGAGACCGTACTTTCGACACACTCTACAAAGGAGATAGTCTTGACAAATTTAACACCCAACTAACTAGTAGTACGCCCCGCCACAATCTCAAAAATGAGAAGCAGCCCCCTTGCCTAGATAGGCAGATTCAAAACACGCGAACTCAAGGCGTATCGGATCTATGCACATGTATACTTTAGTTTTGGGCAAGGACTTGAACAGGTTCGAGTAACAAGAACGAGAATAAGAGTTCAAACCATAGCGGTGGAAGAAGTCTAAACGGATAAAGGTTCAATAGCTGTCCCCGTGGCTGGAAATAGTCCGAGCATGTTTTCGGTGGATGGGAGGGTTGGGATCCCCGGATCAGCGAGATTGATCACGGTAGAAAGAGATGCAAGGAAACCCTGGCCAGCCAGTTGTGAATGAGGCTTAGGATTGGTAGAGTACAGTTGAGTTTTGGGTTGGCAAGTAGGTGTCATGTGTTTTGTTCGGTTTTGTCGGGAGGGGAAGGGTGGAAAAAGGTAAATAGGTTTCGGTTATTGAGTTTCGGGGGGAGAGGTACGAGACATAGGAGGGCAGCTTGGTATGCAGGGAGGCGAGAGATAGCTACGATAGCTACTCTGTAGGGTATAGTATTGAGGGAGAGAGGAAGAGGGGGAAAGAGGGGAACACACATGCATACTTGATGCGGTGTTCATACCTACCTGCATTACAGACGGGATGTCATACAAACAACTAAACGGGCATCCCTGCTGCAAGAGACAATCATGCAGGTAACAGCGGTGGTGGTGGTGGTGGTGGTGGTGGTGGTGGTGGTGGTTGAGTATGTAGAGCGGAATACCAAAGTGTGGATCAACCGGAAGAAGCGGGAAGGTGTCGACCCAATATCCATGGCCATCCAATTCCTGCTCTCATTCAGCCTTGTGGGTCCGGCATCACAGGTCCATTGTTGAGTCACGAAGCCTACTCTGTACAAGCCATGCCATCTGAAAGAAAAGACAGAGAGGGAGGGATGGATAACCACGGAAAGGGAGGAGCAGGTGACTGCTGAAATCCGAGGAGGGGAGGGATGATCTCATCCTGCCGACCGTTCCGGGATGCGAGGATCTGCAGAGTTGCAAAGCACGGCGGAAGATTTAGTCTCACTGTAGCTCGAAGCTTCTCGAGAGAGGGAGGGAGTGCATTGACTGATTATTGATCCCGTTGGAACCCGCCGGGTTGCACGATGGGACGTGGCGTGGTCGCCATTGGTCTGTGCCGAAGCTGGTGGAAGCTGCTTGATGACCAGCGCTGAGTACGGTGCTGAGTCACGGTGAAATCATAGTTAACATTCCTGGAGATAATTATTCAGTATGAGTGAAAAGACTAGATGCTTCTGATGATGGAATAGATGATAGAGATGGGATGGACAGTGAGTAGTGATGATGGAAAATTGTAGAAAGGTAACCAGAATTGAAGAATGAAGATAAGACCGAAGGAAATCCGACGAGATCCAGACCGGGCGATCCCCCGTGACGCCAAGCCATGACGATGGAACTTGAGTGGCTTCACGGCTTCAATTCTGGCTTCTTCCACCCTCCAATCCTTCAATCACCGTCCAGTCACGCAACCTGGCAATCATGAGTTGACCAACAACACCCTCTCTCCCTTGCCTGGTCCGTTCCCGACTCTGTCCATCTGGCTCCATCCATCAGTCCATGGTCCACGCTGATCCTCACACTAGCCATGCCGGACCTGATCCCCACCCCAACTGTGATGCAGACCCAGCTGCGTTGTTGCGGTTGTTGATGTTGATGCTGCTGTGATGGCCATTGCCTTCCACCTCGGTTGGGCACCCCTCCCATCCTAGGAACAGTATGATGCTGTCCCCTACCTTAGTATCCCTCTGTTGATGTGGTCTTCCTGCACAACTACGGCAATCTGGTCAGTGCAATCACACAACCGATACAACGACTGGTCCGCCTCGGAACTGACTTACTTCATGCAGAGGAAATTATGACGCATCTGGGGAAAAGCGCCAAAAAACCCGCCTAAGCTGGCCCTCCTTCCGTTGGCGTCCCTCAGTTTTCCCTGGACAGGCCACTACTGAGGGCCAGAAAAACTTTCGGCTCAAGCTCAAGGGGGGAAAAAAAAAAAAAAAAAATACAACATCCTCTGACGTAAAAGATACGCCCCGTTAATTCGGTCGGCCATGCGCCCTTCCGTCCTATCCATTCAAGCCGACCAGGCGACATATAAAGAACCTTGTCCTGGCATTCCTTCCCCTCTTCATCCATTCATCAGAGTCCGACGAACCAGTCTGTCAGTGGAACTGAGCTTCTCTTTACGCGTCGCCCAATAAACTACTAGCTGCCCTACTATCTCACTTTCTTCCCATCTCTATACACTTTCAGTCCAGTCAATCGCAGCCATGTTCTCCAGTACTGTGGCCCGTCCACTACAGCTGGTGACTCGGTTCATGCAGTGGGCCAGTGCAGTCATCGTGATGGGTATCACCTCCTACTTCATCCACAAGGGACCTCGCGGCCAGCACACCATCTACTGGGAAGTCATTGTAAGCATGCTCCCATCCTTGATGTAAACAGATCAAACCTTATCAACTAACCATGGATTAGTCGACCATGTCTGTTGTCTTCTTCCTGCCCGCCTTTATCTCGCCGTTCATGCCCAATGCCCTGAGCAAGTTTGTCTTGATCATCGATGTCATCTTCTCGTACCTGTACGTGCCATCCAATCAAGCAACATCTATATTCTTTTGTGCTGGTACTGACCATGACCACAGTTGGCTCACGGCTTTCATCTTTGCCGCGCAAGACTACAACTGGCACAACTGCGGCGCCAACTCTCCCCCCGGCCTGTCCTGCTCCAAGAAGAAGGCCAATGAAGCCTTCATCTTCCTGACCTTCATCTTCACCTTCTTCGCCATCTTCCTCGAAGTCGGTGCCCTCTGGGCCTACCGTCGCGAGAGCACCCCAGTCCGGGAGAAGAACACCGGTGGCGCCCACGGCGGTCCTGCTGACGCGCCTGTGGCCACAGCCTAGATTTGAAACTCGACTGCCAGATAATCCGTCTCGACTAATGGCGGCGACGCATGCCAACGCATTCTCTTGTGCGTTCATGTACCGGTCTACATGTACATCACGCACAAGCGATAGCTGTCGTCCGTCTCCAGCGAGATGATGATTCGATACCCTTTTCCGTCTCTCTCTACGACCATGATACCACAGTTGACTTGGCTTTGATTGAACATCTACTAATACTGATGATGTTAATACGTTTGATATCCCTACATACTAATGTCCATTCGTTAATGTCCGTACGACTTGAACATGCTTGAACGACCTGAAGAAGGAGAAGAGGAATAGGTGGTGGGTGTGCATAGATGGATCGGGGTGGTGACCGGGATCGTTGCTGTTACTAATACCATCTTTACTAATTACCACTATAATCTTGTCTTGTCATTCTTTACACAACTGATTTGATTCTGTTCTATTGGATCTACCCCGTGCTGTGCTGCGTCTGGGTTATCCAATGTGTAATAATAGTACAATAATAATATATGGTCTGTCTAAATTGCAGAAACATACTAACCAGCCGATAGCTGAAGTTGTAGAGGTTGTAAAAGGTTTTTCAACAATACATAATAGTTGCTGATTGAGTTACACAATCATACTATAATCGCCTGATAGTTACATATATATAATCAGTCAAACTAAACCTCCAGCTCATCTTTGATAACATAACCCAAGTACAAACCCATTTAACTGGAAATCAAGGACCATTTGTCTTTTATCCTAGAGTCATAATTCTCATTTCAAGTATGTCCGTTCCCATGTCACAAGCCGCCCACTCTCTCCCCGAAATAACTCGAGAGTAGTAAGTAATGTTCTGTCCCCCGTCTTCATAGTATCTGACAAATAGATACGAGACACACTTAATCTAATCTACAATGATTATTTCTTGTACTTTCTAACCCATACTCGAAACAATCGATGTGGTATGTACAGATTTTACTGCTTTACAACTTGTCTAGCTAACAGTATCAAAAAGTATATATGGGTGTTTCTCAGTGTCTGCGGGGGATTACAACTAAGCTGGGCCGGTATAGATGAACTGACAGTAACAAGAATGTTAACTAATAAGTTAGCTGGTACTACTAGTCAGATGATTCGAATTAGCTGGCTACGCAGGCAAAGATACACTAGTGGTATGGGTTTATGTGTATGTGTATGTGTATCAACCATGTGTATCATGGTTGATAGCTTGAAAAATATCAGGATATTCTGGGACTACATAAGATATATCGAATCAGGGCAATGGCAAACTGTAACTGGGTTTGTTAACTGGTATTGTGCATGTCAAGCTGTCGGTATGGGCTACTCTTGCGATTTTATAAGATTAATCAAGAGTCTGGTGTCTATTCATGGATCGGTCTATCTTATTATCGCTTCAAGTGTCTATCCAACTCGTGTCGTCTCTATCTGTCACTCCAAACAAAACTCCAGTTACACTTACAATCCCGAGACACCCACCTGTCCAGCTCAACCCATACATACATTTACACACATCAAGCCCGTCCCAACCCCTGTGGGAAATCCAAAATATTCAAAGGGTCCCACTTCTTCTTGATCTCCTTCAGCCGATCCAAAGCGTCCCCATAATACCTCTCCGCCCAGTTCTGCAAATACGGATCGATATAATTCTGATACGCTTGCCAACCGCCCTTAGGATCGGCCTGGCGCACTGCATCCGCGACATCGGAAAGCCTAGCAACTGCAGTCTCCCGTGCTGACGCATTTGTGAACCCCGGGAAATCCCAAGCATAGATTTGCGACATGAAGAGATTGTTTCGGTGGTTGAAGGCCATGGGCCCGACAGAGTCATCCGGGGGCAGGGTGGTAGCGGCGTCAGGGCCATTCAGGTCGAAGGATATGAAGGCATCAGGCCCGGCGGGCTGGATGGCGGAAAATATCCTCGAGATGGAGGCGCTGGTGTAGTTAGGGTGCCCGTCGTCGAAGAGGGATTTGGCGTAATAGGGTTGTGGGACAGACGGAGAGTCGAGGTCACCCATGAGATTGGTGAGAGCGGAGACCCAGTTGGTGTAAAAGGAGCTGGTGGTTGTGAGGGGCTGGATGGATTGGCGTGCGAGTGGGGAAAGGAGGCGCTGGATAGTTTCGTTGTAGGCGGCTGAATCGCCGAGGTATTGGCCAGTAAAGGTGCAGTAGGCCTTAGGGGGCTGGTAGCCACCATCTATGATGAGTTCTCCACCCAAAGAGGTCGGGAAGCCCGCAGAGGAGGTCGCTGGGTGGGATCCAATCTCTTGTAGGGTTAAAAGGACCTGTACGCAGTCTGACTGACTCGCGAAGCCAATGTTGTAGTTGACGATAGCCGTTGGGGCGGGCTGCATGCGGTAGGTGAACGAGGTAACGATACCAAAGTTGTTGGAGCCAGCACCCCGAAGCGCCCACCAGAGATCACCATCATTCGTGTCGTCAGTAGATGTGGTATTGGGGTTTGTTGCCTTAGGGCTGATCGTTCGGATGCGGCCGGTCACATCCACAAGCTCCAGTGAGACCACTTGGCTTGGAATTAGCTGGGAAATTCGGAAGGCATTCGAACGAATCATTCAACTTACATCTGTCTACTAGCCATCCCCACTCGCGAGAGGTAAACCCCCAGCCACCTCCCAGGCTGTGTCCAGCTACCCCCACCCCCGGACAGGTGCCATGAGGCAAGGCATACCCCGCGCGGCCCATCGCCAGAGCTAGCGGGCCAAGCTTCTGACCCATCTGCACGGTAACCTCCTGTGTGCTCTCGTCCAGGACAATGTCGGTCATCTGGCTGGAGTCGATGACGACTTGTCCTGATAGACTGTACGCAGCATAGCCATGGCCACCGCCACGGGTCGTGAGAGTGACCCGGCCCTGCTCGGCTGCCACGCAGCGAACAGTAGCAGCAACTTGCTCCGTTGAGTTGGGAATGACAACAGCTTGGGGATGGGGGTGGTAATTGCTATTGTCCGCCACCGTGAGATTCGAGTACCCAGCATCCGTGGCGTACACAACTGATGCGCCAGTAGCTCCTAGACAGGATTCAAGGGACCTCGGCAGCACGCCATTGTTGGCCGTTGCGGGAGTGGAGATGTTCCCAGGGTTCTGAGGCAGGGCTGCGAGTTGGTTGGGCAGCATGAACAAGACTGCTGCCGTGAATATGACTGGAGGAGCCATGATGTGAGAGCGAAGGTGGGATTATACTGCGGTAAACTAGTACAAGGGGCATACCAGGGACTGGTGCAATGTCCTTGGCCGGTGTTCTTGGGGGAAGATCGGGGTAATGTAAGGGGGTAGCGGTGTGCACTAAGTCGATTCGCGGTTCAGATCGGCGGGAAAAGAAATGGGAAAGATGCCATTTTAGCCAAGGGGCACGGTCATTCCGGGCGATCCGATATGTCTCAGAAGCACCGACAGATATAGAAGTCATTCTCGGATCTCTCCCCAATACGCCTTCCGCGGCTGGAACTCCACATACATTCCTTCCTCCGCTTGCATCTCCCTCGCACTACCAGAACCACATCCGCCCCCTCTGCCCTTTCAAATCTTTCTTTGATTGACAGACGAGAATTCTCGCTCGTCGGTCTTCATCCTAGACATACCCGCATCATCCTGCATCGCCTTCATTGTGGGTGCTTTATTCACCGCGATCACCCGGCCCAAGCTCAGCCAATGTTCCTTTGCTTGCGCTCAACCACCCCATAAGCACAAAGTACTGATGCAAGGCCGGCAATGGGGCAGACTGGTGGCCGATGACGAGCAGCTAGCAGTCTTAGCTCACAGCGCGCAATAAGGAGAAACTACCCGAGTAGACAGTGCCTCCGTCGACGATCAATTTATCTGCTCGCAAAGGCGATGCAGACTGATAAGTCTGGCATGGCGAGGCCGGCGCGCTGACATAATGCAGGCGAAAGAGGCTGCTTGGAGCGGTCAGGCGTCCTTTAGGCCCGAACAGCTGAATCCTGCGAGGCTGTGTAGTAATACCATAGTTACTGGCGGGTGATGAGTCGAACGCAACAGTCTCACACGCATACGCATGTCGCCAACTCAATACTGATGGTCGCATCAGGAGAATCCATAAGACCTTACTCAGCTTACGCCGGAGTTTTAGTCCAACAAAGTGCCAAAGCGGAAGTTGTGGTTCAAGAGCCAGAATCGATCTCTGGGCAAATATTATAAAGCTCACAATAACACTGTTGGACATCGGGGCATCTAATATGTCGAGTCAGCTTTTTCTCGAAAATTTGCGGCATTTAAGATTGGGCAACACATACGAAACTGGCTGCTCAAGAAAGATGATATGCCAGAGCATCTCGAAGACTGACCCCGCTGCAAAAGTATCCATATCGGTCGCCAGAGCCCAGTCGCGCATTCGCACATAGTCATCTCGTGGCCGCTCCCGGATCCGGTCCCTTGTGAGCACAAACTGACCACAGCAGACCCCACCGATCTCGGTAGGGACCTGCTCCCGCGGCACGGAGAACATATCCATGTAGATTGAGGTGAAGTTGCGATACACCACGTTATGGTTTGACTCCATGGCTGGATCAAAGGGGCGCACGGCTACGGGACATCCTGGGCGGTGCTCACAGCGGAGATTCGCATACCCAGCCTTATTCACGGCGTCCAGGCTGAGTTTTTGAAGCAGAGCGGACGACGCTGTGTCGCCGACATCGTTATGCCACTGAGTGGCAGAGGCATGCATGAAGGCCGTAACATCCGCAAGGTAGTCGTAGTGTTCAATGATGTGCGTCAGGTATGCCATGCCTTCGCGGGCCTTGTTCGCCGGGATAGGGCGGTATCCAGGCTCTTTGTCGGAGGTGTAGATGTAAGGTTTCCAACTATCCAACTGGTGAGCATGTCGTGATGGTATTTCAATCGGATCGAACTGGAGTCTAGAACACTTACTGGGGCTTGAGAGCATAAGCCCAGGTGACATCTTCAGAGCTAGTCTTCGCCAGAACCAGTGCGTTATGTTTGCGCCTAGCCGGATGTTTCTCGACTCGACCTGCATAGCGTTAGGGACCCTAGCTAAGTAAATCGATGAGCTTAGAGGTGGAAACGCACCGAGAACTAAGATGAGATCATCCCTCAATAGCCTGACGTACAGTAGAGCCAGGAGTCCCAAGCAAAACAGGGTGAAACACCATGTATACAGGCTTCTCGAGCACATGGGCAGACCCAGCGATTGGACCATTTTGTGTAGATCCCACTCAAGAAGGGATTGTTCGCCTTCGAAGACACTGCTGCCCTTGAATTGATCTCACCCGAGGCCGTTGAGGAGGAAGTCAATGGGGAGGGTTGATGAAGAGGCTCAGCCTTGCATGGTGGTTCTCGCATTAGAGTTTGGAAACCCTGCAGCATCGGGCTTTGAGAAGGTGGCTTTGTTGGTCAGCGAGGCCACACGCGCATTGCAGAGAGAACACCCAGCTCTCTCAAGATGATAAGTCCCCGACAGATGGCAGATAAATGAGTTGGATAGAAATTGGTAACAATATTGATGATCGATGATGATGTTGACGCTGATGATCGTCGGAGGAAACCTGGCGAGGTCCGATTCGGGGGAGAAACCAAGCCGCGTGTCACAACAGCCGAGGAGGGGGGGCAGAGAGAGAGGGAGGGGGAATTGGCAGCTGACAGCCACTCATCCAACAAACAGAACAGAACTCACCCGCAATTCAACCGACCGCTTCAGCAGCAGATCAAGTGGAGCGATCGCCTGGCAACTTTTTTCTTTCTTTGCTTTCCAGCTCCACGCATGGAATGACAGGGGAAAGAGAATGTTGACCGACGAGAAGAAGAAATCTATAACTCGACTAAGCAACAAAAGGGTTTCTTTCCGCTGGGTCCCGGATCCAGCCTTGCGTATGGCGAGGGTCTAGACTCCTGGGGCCGCGAATCATTCCGAGAGGAAAACTGGGGACGGGAACCACTCCCCAGTGCCTGGGCCAACTATTTAGATTGTCGATGGGGACGAGCACGGGAAATAAATGAAATTGGCTCGGTTACACGTCTATGTGGTTCTATCTACAACTCATGTCTATCGGGATTGGACTAGAGACATGTTCATGCCAGATGAATGCAACCAAAAGCATAGCAAAGGGAGATAGTCTCGGGTATAGAGCAGAAGATCACCGCTGAAAGTCCGGGGGGAAAAGAGTAACACATGGAAAACAGAACTATCCCACCCTGCCGGCTCGGTCGCAGTCATACGAATAGCATCATATGTTGGACAGAAACATTAGATACTCGCGCGACGGGGCGCCAGCGTCCGCTGGAGCTTCTTCTTCTCCTCGGTCTCTTCGGGAAGCGGAAGTGATCCCTCCCGCTTCAGCTTTTCCAAGTAATTCTTACCATACGCATAGCCCAGTTGGTAGATCTCGTCAAACTTCGCAAAGTCCAGCGTCCCGTATGGATCAATGGGCGGGCGCATGTACAGGCACCCAGGGGTGTTTTTGGCACGTTCGAGGTTCTCGATCGACGACACATACGCCAGGCGTGCTTGAATCTCAGACAGCGTTGGTGGGTTAGGACACGAGCTGAACGGATTCCAGCGGTTCACCACTGCCCAAAACCCGGACAGGGAGTCGCCATACACTTGCGGGGTGTTGTCATCAATCGATCCCACGTCCACCGCAAAAATCACATCCGCACCCAGCCCTTTCATATGGTCGACCGTAAGATTGTCAATGTAGCCGCCATCAAGCAGCATGCTACCTTCGTCGCAGATCGGCGGGATCAAGCCAGCTAATGACATGGATGCACGTACGTACCGCCACGTGTAGCCAGAAGAGTGATATTCGGCACGCGATCGGCTAATGTTGGTGGTGTTGCAGTAGAACTCGAGCCAGAAGTCTTCAATCTGACTATCCCCAAACGTCTTGAAGATGCCACGGTTGAATTCATGCCCAGTGGTATAGGAAACAGTAGGGTAGGTCAGGTCCAGGGCGAATCGCCAGATGCTTCCCATGCGGCCCGCAAACTTCTTTGCACGACCATACATGGGCACAACGTCAGCATCCCGTGCATACAGAGCTCCAATGAAAGAACCAATTGAAGTGCCGCCAATGATATCAATTGGGATGCCTGCTTCTTCTAGAGCTTTGATTACCCCGACCTGGGCAATACCTCTGGCACCTCCACCACCAAGCACAAGCCCCACCGACCGGCCACAGAGCCGACGCGCCAAGCGATGGAAGTCGCCCTTGAATGGTGTCTGTGCAGAGTATAGCGGTGACTGGCGGATACGGCGCGAGGTGTACTTCTGGATTTCAGCCTGAATAACCTGAACTCTCTGCTTCAAGACGGTTCCAAAGCGTTTGGTCTGGGGATGAGAGGGTTCGGCCGTCAGTCGGAAGGCCATCTGTACATGATGATGGCCTCCATTGATCCAGACACGATTCTTCAACCACTGGCGGGTCAGTCCCGGAGGGCAGTACCGTTCCCCATGCAACAGGACTAATTCTTTCCGAGCGGTTGTTTTCATCCCAAGGAGAAATCTCTCGTATTCACCGATGCTGGGCGTCGACTCGGCAAGACCAACCAGCAAGATACAGTCAGCTTGAGTAATACATGTTTGGGTCCACGGAGAGTTCACGGTCGTATCCGCAATGTAGAGGACCATGCCGTACTTCTCCTCCAGATCCGCCAGGTACTGTGATAACTTGAGTTTGCCCATCTTACTGAAGGCATGTCTTCCTAGATGGTTCAGAATAGCCGCTTGATTGAGAGACGTGGCGCCGTTGGTGACCCCAATCTGGTGAAGCGCCTGTAACAGCCGGTTTCCAAATTCAACAACGGGAACTCCAGCTGTTACGGGAAGTATGCCAACAGTACGAAGGTTGAGAGTCGACTTTGCTGTCTTCACCGTACCAGAAACACCAGGTTCACCTCCCTTCTCGGCCAGCGGAGTCTCGACAAGGTCCCGCATCCGTTGTGCAATGAGTTTAGAGACCTGAATAGTGATTCCCGGATGTTCCTGGGCGAGGCTGTTGAAGAGAGTTCGGGGAAATTTGGCGAGTTCAGTGTCGCGGATGGCATGGAGAGTCGCCGGCCGGGTCGATTCGGTCATCACTTCCAACTCACCCACGCTTTCTCCCTGGCCGTATTCACCGACAACGGTCATCTTGCCATTTGGACCTTCATGTACAGACCGCAAACGTCCATTCAAGGCAAGGTAGATTGCATCGCTCTCGTCACCCTGGTGATAGATCACCTGGCCAGCACTTACTTGCACCCATTCCAGGGCGAAGTCGATATGAAGAAGTAACCGTGGGAGCAGGCTTGTCAGCCGCTTTGCCAAAGTCAACAGGGCCAGAGGGTACCGCTCCGCTATTCTTTCCAATGACGCCCGCGGAAGAAATCCTACGTATACGTCTGTCTTCGCAACGACATCGGTATACGAGCGGTAAGATGCGACGGCGCCCACATAGCCTTGGATCCCACCGGGTTTAATAAGATAGAGTGACCTCCGCGACTGCTTCTTCCGCCTAGGATCGTTTGCTGCCGCTGCCGAGCCTGACACACGAGAGGAACTCGTGTTGGTGCGTCTTAACATAGGGAACAGTTCCTCATGTGCCGGTCTGGACGATCCCACAAGGTCTTCTTCTTTGTCGTCCACGGGAATACCGACATCCAGGAAGCCATCAACAACGTAGTACAAACCCGGATGGCGCTCGCCTTGCTCAACAAGAACCGATCCCTGAGGGAAATAGACAATTTCAATGTCATTCCGGAGTTCTTCCCTCAAGTTGACAATAGGCGAGGTGCCACCGGCACTGGTGACAGACATGGACATCATGGATTCGCTTTCACCATCCGCAGAACCTTCGTAGGGATCAATGAACCCAAACGCGTTGTTGCTAAAGACGGCTTTCTGGCGGCGAGAATCATAGGAGAGGAGCTTCGGGGAAGCATCGCCTGAAGGGTGACTACTTTTACGCAAGAAGTCATTGGTGCTTCCAGTCAAGCCGATGCCTTTCATGATACACTCCAGGATTGATTCACGGAAGAGTGCATCCTCATCCAAAGACTCTTTCCGGTGAAAAGGAGATGCGCGTCCTGGAATCATTGGAGACGGGGACCGTAAGGGGGAGTGTTCTTTCTCCGTAAGAGGACTCAGTAACCGGGGGGCAAGGTGCTCGTATCTCGGACCGAAGCGCGAAAGCTGAATGGTAGATAGAAGATCCCCGGGACTCACACCGGAATTCTCGCGATCACTTAGTGCGCTATCCTGGGCAACCATGGAGACTGGCCGTTTAGAGGCGACCATCTTCGCCTGGAGAGCGGCTTCCTTCCTTCGAAAGCTACTCGACCGGGGCCTCCGTCCTCCATATGGGTTATGCAACGCAATCCCTTTCGTTACTTCCTCTTGGCCTAGGCGATCTCGTTCTTTGATAAATTTGTCTTTGAGACGGTCCAGCGCTGACCCACGCAGCTCATTTGGCAAATCGTACGTTGTGAATTTCGTCATCTGCTTCTCTATTCCCAGCACCTCATTGTTTAGACCCAGATAGGAGTGCGCTGTAGCGAAGGTGACTCTCTGTAGGCGCGTAAGGATTACCTGGACGATATGGGCAGTCGCTTTTGGGTACACTCGGGTCAAGCGACGGAATGCGCTTGCAGGGATGATTGCGATTGTTGTGTCTACCATCGCTCGTGCAACGATATCTGGATGCACTGATTTCCTACGCGTTTTGCCTGAGTACTTTCTGCTTTCAGAGCGAGCAGAGTGGGCGGGTGGAACTTGGCTTTCACCCAGATTTAATGGCGGCACAGCTGGTAGGTCTTCGGCAGTGCTGTTCCTGTGAGAGGCCGGGTCAAGACGATCCCCTTGATAAACATGCGGAGAGTCGTCCATTTCCCGAGGGCTCGCCGGAAATGAGTCGGGGCCAATGGCAAGACCCGGACCTATACTAGAAGCGCTGGAAGCTGAGCTGTCTGCATATCGTAATTGGACATCCTCGGTAAACAGCGACAGGATGGAAAAGAGTGAGGACATCGAAGCTCCGTTCTTTACTTCGGTAAGCAGCTGGTATCCTTGCCTTCCGTCCGGTCGATGGTCGTCTTCGTCGGAAGATTCACCTGCCATGCGGTTCAGCTCTTCATCTGAGCCCGACTTTCTGTCCCGCATGGACTTCACGAAGATTTGGACCAAGCCATCAACGACCAAACAAAACCCTTTCTCTTCCTCCAGCAGGAGCGTTTCGCCGGCGATCAACTTCCTTGTCTGCATGGTGCGGGTCAATTCGTGGAATACAGGCCGCTCGAGGTAGCCGAAGACTTTGATGGCGCTCAGAAACTCATCCAGATAGTTTGCCAAGCCCGGTTTCGTGTCGCTGTCCGGTACGTCG